GTCGTGCACAGGGGATCCGCCAGACCTTTACGCTTCCGGACTCTCCACAGAAAAATGGGATTGCTGAGCGCCGCATTGGCATGGTCATGGATGTCGCTCGTACGTCCATGATGCATGCGGCTGCCCCCCATTTTCTGTGGCCGTTTGCGGTTCGGTACGCGGCGCATCAGCTCAACCTTCACCCCAGGGTCTCTCGGCCCGCGATGTCCCCAGTGTTACTGTGGACGGGGAAGGTCGGCGATGCGTCTGCGTTCCGTGTCTGGGGATCTCGGGCGTTTGTCCGCGACTTGTCTGCGGACAAGCTGTCCCCCCGTGCTGCTCCCTGTGTCTTCCTTGGCTTCCCCCTTGACGCTCCAGGGTGGCAGTTCTACCACCCCTCCTCTCGTCGTGTTCTGTCCTCCCAGGACGTCACGTTCGACGAGTCAGTCCCCTTCTACCGCCTCTTCCCCTACCGTACTCCTTCCCTCCCCCCCCCACCGGACTTCCTGGTGCCAGTTCCCCCCCCGGTAGACCCCCTCCCCCCTCAGGTTCCTGCCCCTTCAGGTGTGTCCCAGGTAGACACAGTCGAGCCAGTCGAGGTTGCTGCTGAGTCTGGTCCTGCTGCGGGTGCAGAGTCTGGGGGTGCTACGCCTGCGGGTGCTGAGCTTGGGGGTGCTGCTGCTGGGGGTGCTGAGCCTGGGGGTGCGAGGCCGGGGGGTGCTGAGCTTGGGGGTGCTGCTGCTGGGGGTGCTGAGCCGGGGGGTGCTACGTCAGGAGCTGCTGAGCCTGGGGGTGCTGAGCCTGGAGGTGCGGAGCCTGCGACTGCTGGGCGGGAGCCGCTCTCTCCACAGGAGCTGCGCGAGTGGTTTGCTCGCCGCTGGAGGCGTGCTGCTGGAGTTGGAGCTTCTTCGCTTGCTGAGGGTGCTGCCGGTCCCGGAGCTGCTGGGCCTGCGAGTCCTACTGGAGCTGGAGCTACTGAGTCTGGGGGTGCTGAGTCTGGAGCTGCTGAGCCTGGAGGTGCTGAGTCTGGAGCTGCTGAGCCTGGGGGTGCTACGTCTGGAGCTGCTGTGCCTGGGGGTGCTGAGTCTGGAGCTGCTGAGCCTGGGGTTTCTCCTGCTGCTGCGTCTCGCCGGGAGCCCCTCTCTCCACAGGAGCTGCGCGAGTGGTTTGCTCGCCGTTGGAGGAGTGCTGCTGGAGCTGGAGCTTCGTCGACCGTCGAGGGTGCTGGTGCTGCCGGTCCCGGAGCTGCTGGGCCTGCGGGTCCTACTGGAGCTGGAGCTGCTGAGGGTGTTGGTGCTGAGACTACTGCTGTCTGTCCTGGCGGTGGTTCTGCTGCTGGTGCTGCTGGAGGTCCTGCCGCTGGAGGTGTTGGTGGCGCTGGTGCTGTCGCTGAGGGTGCTGGTGCTGTCCCTGCTGAGTCTGGAGCTGCCGCGCGGCCTCGGCCGTACTTCGTTCCGCTCCTACAGCAGGTTCTTGGTCTTTCTCCTTCGGTAGAGTGTCCACAGCCTGTCCAGTCGCAGTCACTGTTGGAGCCTTCCTCTCCTCTGCCTGCTCCCTCTCCTTACACTGGTCCTACTGGAGGTCTTGCTGAGCGTCGTGAGCCTGCGTCTCGTCCCGCGTCGCCGGTTCGTGCTGCTCGCGCTAGTGGTCGCGGTTCGCGTCAGCGTCCTCCTCCTGTCCCTGGCACGCACCGGATGTCTCTGCGTCCGTCCACTGCTCCTCTGCGTGCCCCTTTGCCTTCTCCTCCTGAGTCCTCTCTTCCTGCGCTTGCCGACCCTGAGTCGGACTTTCTTCGCGCTGCCAGTCCTACTGTCACGCGTCTGCTTGCTACTGTCGTCACTGACCCCTCTTTTGAGTCCACTGCTGCGTCTGCTCTAGTCGCTGAGCTCGTCGACTTTGCTGCTCGCTGTCGTCTCGACTACGCTGCTAGTCTTGTTGCTGAGTCTGCGTCTGTCTGTCCTCCGTCCGTCGGGGGTGAGTGTGCTCTTGGCACGGACGTCCTAGAGGACAGGCAGGAGGAGTTACAGTGTCTAGCGGCTGCTTCACCTCATCTCGCGTCTGTACTGCTTGCCCCTGAGGGAGACCCGGATGCACTAGACATCCCGACTCCGCGTTCTTACGCGGAGGCCGTAGAGGGTCCCTACTCCTCTCAGTGGCAGGCAGCTATGGATGCAGAGATGGCTTCCTGGAAGTCCACAGGCACCTACGTTGACGCGGTTCCCCCTCCTGGGGCGAACATCGTCAGTGGCATGTGGATCTTCAGGGTGAAGCGGCCGCCGGGCTCTCCACCTGTCTTCAAGGCACGGTACGTTGCTCGTGGCTTCAGTCAGCGGCAGGGAGTTGACTACTTTCAGACCTTCTCTCCCACCCCGAAGATGACCACTCTTCGGGTGCTGCTGCACATAGCCGCTCAGCGCGACTACGAGCTTCACTCTCTCGACTTCAGCACTGCGTTCCTGCAGGGTAGCCTGCACGAGGAGATCTGGCTGCGCCGTCCACCTGGCTTCACTGGGACTTTCCCTCCTGGCACCCAGTGGAGCCTCCGACGGCCAGTCTACGGTCTCCGCCAGGCACCGCGTGAGTGGCACGACACACTGAGGACTACGCTTGCGGCTCTTGGGTTTGCTCCTTCTACTGCTGACCCGTCGCTGTTTCTGCGCACCGACACTTCTCTGCCGCCGTTCTACATCCTCGTGTACGTCGACGACTTGGTCTTTGCCACAGCGGACACTGCTGGACTCGCCTACGTGAAGTCCGAACTGCTGAAGAGACACACGTGCACAGACCTGGGTGAACTGCACAGCTACCTTGGCTTGCAGATCACTCGGGACAGAGCACGCCGCACCATTACCTTGACTCAGTCACACATGGTGCAGCAGGTCCTTCAGCGCTTTGGCTTAACGTACTCCTCGCCTCTGGCCACTCCTCTGCCTACTCGCCATTCACTCTCAGCTCTGCCTTCGGATGAGTCCGTAGAGTCGAGTGGTCCGTATGCAGAGCTTGTTGGCTGCCTCATGTACCTGATGACCTGCACACGACCTGACCTTGCATACCCTCTGAGCATTCTTGCACGCTATGTTGCTCCTGGGAGACACAGACCAGAGCACATGGCTGCAGCGAAGAGGGTATTGCGCTACCTGTGCAGTACGTCGGGCATGGGGCTAGTGCTTGGAGGGCGGAGTCCAGTGGTCCTTACCGGCCACGCGGACGCTTCTTGGGCTGACGACCAGGCTACGCAGCGGTCGTCACAGGGTTACACCTTCAGCCTTGGTTCCGGCTCTGTCTCGTGGCGGTCTACTCGCTCGTCTTCGGTTCTCGGCTCCAGTTGTGAGGCTGAGATCTACGCCGGGGCCATGGCTGCACAGCAGCTTCGCTGGCTCACCTACCTGCTGACTGACCTTGGAGAGCCACCTCGTTCTCCTCCAGTGCTGTACGTAGACAACAAGGCCATGCTGGCCTTGTGTCGAGAGCAGCGCTTGGAGCACAGAACGAAGCACATTGCTCTCCGCTACTTCCTTGCTCGTGAGCTGCAGCAGCGTGGTCAGTTGCGACTTGCGTACGTGGCCTCTGAGGCCAACACTGCTGATGTGTTCACCAAGGCACTCGCGCCTTGTGACCATCAGCGCTTTTGCACCCAGCTGGGTCTTGTGTCTGTCTTGCCTCACTTGCTCTCCTCTTGACTTCACTTGTACTGTGACATATATATATACCTGCTCTTGCTTGTCTAGTTTTATATATATGTCTGTACTCCTGCATGTGAACTGGCCTCTGGCCCTGCTCTTGTGCTCGGACTGTGTGGTGACTTTGTGATCCACCCTGAGCTTGCTTTGCTTTGCTTGACTGGTCTTGTGACCCCTTGTTCTCCCCCACTTTGCCTATGGGGGTGTGTCAAACATTATATATGTTCTGCTTGTGTAGGCTACAGTGGGTTAGCCTATAGGGGGTACACAATTCTAGGGTTTCCTACTTGTACTCATTTCACTGCTAGTTCATTCATTCCTGTTCGCTTATTCTCACAGCGATCACATAGCAGCAGCAGCAGCGATCACATAGCAGCAGCAACAGCAGCGGCGATCGCACAACAGGAGCAGCTGCGATCACACATGAGCAGCCGCGATCGCGCAGAAGCAGCAGCAGCTACCACACGGCAGCAACCGCAGTGATCGCACAGCAGCAGCCGCAGCGATCTCACAGCAACAGCGGCGATCGCGCATCAGCAGCAGCAATCTCGACATTTGCAGCTAATCGCTCCTCACCAGTGGCACATCTCGCGTCAGCAGCAACAAATCGCGCCTCACCAGCAGTCGATCTCGCAGTAGCTGCAGCAAATCGGGTAAACAGCAGCAGTTTGCGCGGCAGAAGCAGCGATCGCGCATCCTCAGCAGATAGCAGGGCCTATGCGCCATTAGTAGCGGCAGCAGCGGCCCCCTCGTCATTTGCGACAGCAGGATTGGAGATTCTTCCCTGGTCGCAGCTTATGTTGCAATTCCGCAACTTCCAGGAGGGACCTCAACATCCGCAGAAGTCCCAATGGGGATCTTATGACAAGCGACGACATGGGAAGTAGGAGAATCTTAGGAATAGCATAAGCTGATAAGTTAATTGGGAAGGGTAGAAGTACCTTATAGGTGTGCTGTCCTAGATGTTGATCTAGAAATGAATTGGACTAGGTTACGTGGATTTGCCACAGATAAAGGAGTTGTGACTCCTTACTGCGAACTTCTTTACAAGTCTTGTCATAATTTTCAAACTTGAAAATGTATTTTAAAAATTTCTCATCTTTTGTGTTTAAGGATTTTAACAGAAGCCTCTTGTTTCAGAGTCTTGACTACTCGATATCTTGCCCCGGAAAGGAGTGGTGGCGACGTTCGTACTCTTGAACTGGCTAACCTGTTTTTTCAGCTATGCATGAATGACAAGCATATGCACAATCACAGCTTTCCTGAACCAACAGGAGCATAATAATGAAGAGAGCAGCTTGACCTACACCTAAAATTACTATACCTTCCCCCCTATCCCAGCTACACTCTTCTCTCAGCATCTTCCACCTCCTCGACATCCTCCCCCCGTGCCTCCCAGCCGCCGCTGATGGGCTGTGCCAGCGATGCGTCATAGAGATGGCCCATCTTAGCGCGCTTTGTCTCCAAATATCTCCGGTTCTCCTGCCACACCAGGGGTACGGTACAGAGAGGATGGCACCTCAGTGAGCGTGGAATGTCAATGTGCACAAGAAGAGGGATGGGAATGTGGAGTACCAGCGGAAGACGCTAACTATAGGAAGAAGGAAGCAGAGAGACTGCTGAGAGGCAGAAGACAAAGTAGAGAGTACAAGTGAGGCAGGGTAACTCACCATGTTGATGGGGCAGAGCACTGGCACTCGTCCGTTGACAGCAAACCCTAATTCACTGATTGCCGTCAGCTTCGCGGGGTTATTCGTCATCAGCTGCAGCGACCGCACGCCCAGATCCCTCAAGATATGCGCCGCAGCGCTGTACTCCCTAGCATCAGCCGGCATGCCCAAATCCAGATTAGCCTGCACTGTATCCCGCCCCATGTCCTGCAGGTTATATGCCTGCAGCTTGTGCCCTAGCCCGATTCCCCGGCCCTCCTGCCCGCGCAGGTAGATGCACACGCCGCGGCCTTTGGCCTCTATGCGTCGCAGAGCTTGCTGCAGCTGGGGGCCACAGTCGCAGCGAGCGGAGGCAAAAATGTCACCTGTGAGGCACTCGCTGTGCACTCGCACCATCACGTCCTCGCCTGATGAGATGTCACCCTGTGGGATGGGAAGGGAGAGAAGAGAGGGAAGAGGAGTTGAAATGACATGCCCGTTGGCCAGTCAGTCAATTAATTGGGCACTTGAACACGAATGTGGTGGATGGAGGCAGAGTATGGCAGGGAGAGGGTCGACGGTGGGTAAAAGAGAAAAGAAAAAGGACCGGAGAGGGGATGGAAAGGGATTGGGGAAGGAGAATGGGAGCGAGCGAGCAACACACCTTGACCATGGCGACGTGCTCGATGCCGTCCACATCGCTGATGTAGCTCACGATGTCAAACGTGCCCCACTCCGTGGGCAGCCGCGCCAGCGCTGTGCGCCGCACTGTGCGCTCTACCAGCCGCCGGTGCCTGTGGGCAGGGAGGGAAGGGGTGGCGGACGAAGGGGAGGGTGAACATGAGGACTTGGACAAAGACCATTGGAGGGAGTGGTGGAAGGGCATTGACGTTCTTCAGGGGTGTGAAGGCCGTGGTAGTTGCAGCAAGGCATAGCATGGCAACCCATGAGAGTAGTCCGGTTAGGCAGGGCATGTGGGAGGCATGGTAATGCACGTGAGAAGACATGGCATGGCGGTGAAAGGCAGGGCATGATAGTGCATGTGAGTGTTCTCACCTGACGATATCCTGAATGGAGATCAGCGTGAGCGCATTCTGGGCGGCAAACTGCTGCGTCTGAGCGGCATCGGGCAGCGAGCCGTCATCATTGAGCAGCTCCGTGACAGCTGTCACGGGCGGCAGCCCCGCCAGCACGGCCATGTCCGCCGCCGCCTCCACGCGCATAGCTTGGCGCAGCACTCCGCCCGGATGCGCGCGCAGCGGAAAGATGTGGCCCGGGCGGCAGAAGTCAGCGGGTAGCGAGTGCGCGTCCGCGAGGGCCCTCAGCGTGCGCGCCCTGTCCGCCGCGGAGATGCCCGTTGTGGTGCCCACCGCAACGTCCTGGGGGAGGGGAAGGGGGAGGAGAAAAGGGGCGTAACCAGTGAGGGATGGACGGCGAGCAAGAGAATGGCCTTGTATGTGCAGATCTGACGATCGGAAGGACGCGGGAGAGCAGGGGTTGTTGCTGCTGTGTTTTTACGCTGTGTATTTGTATGCCTTGCCACCATCCTGAGACCGCTACTGCGACAGACAGCGTCAACTCACCACCGACACGGAGGACGGCGAGCCGTTCTTCGCTATGCCTTCGGCGCCCGCCAACATGGGCGGAATGGAGAGGCGGTCTAGCACAGCCGGGGACGCGGCGGCGGAGACGATGCCGCTGCCGTGGCGAACCATGAAGGCCATGCGCTCCGCCGTCGCGAGCGACGCGGGCATGATAAGATCAGCGACATCCCGCGAGTGTTCGTCCACCACCACCACAATCTGCCACGATGGGAGGATTGTCGCCGAACGACGTGATTATGGGATCAATCAGTCGAGTGAATTAACTAATGTAGCGCAATTCCTCACGAGCTTACTCGAGCAATGGCGAGCGCAGGTGAACACAGGAACAGGTTCAGACTGAATAAAGCTGGCGCTGTCGGCTTCCACGGCTTACTGCGAACTTCGCGCCATTCGCTCCCCATCCAGTCGTCTACTGCCCGAACCCTCTCCCCCAGCCACACCACTGTCGCGCTCACCTCTCCTCGTCGAATGGCGGCGATCGCCTCCTCCACGCGTCGCACACCGGGCACTTCACTGCGCGCCGGCGATCTCGGCGACAGCGGTCTGTTTGGCGCCTCCCTGTCTGTCTCCGCGGCTTCTGGTTCTACCAGCGGCATGGGACCATCTCCCCATCTGCACGGACACATGAACCGTCAGATGAACGGCCAAGATCGACTGTCAGCAACGCTAGGATTCGTGATATTGACAGAGAGAACGAGTTAGGGGAGGAAGGCTTACAGGATAGTGGCAGGACCCTCGAGGTGTCCTGGTGAAGCGACGCCGTTCTGTGTGAACGAGGCAGCATTGTGAGAGCGAGCAGTGCCGTTCGGGGACACCGCGGCGCCGTTGCTGGCGGCTGAGGCTCGGAGAGAGAGGCGCCTTCTCGGGAGCGTCAATGGCGGCAAGGACGGTCGCGCGGAGGCAATTTGACGGGACAGGAGAGACGCATCAGTGACGTCTGCTCGGGAGAGAAACGAGCTGTTCAAGAGAACTCGGGAGTGGGCGACGATTGCGTCCATGGCTTAATCTCAATAAATATTCCCTCAAAGAATGCCGACAAAGAACTTTCTAGACTGTGAAGAGATTGCGACCAGCGAATAGACAGAGGAGTAGAACGGACTTGTAAATATAGGTGATGATGGCAGTTGGTGGAGCGATTAGTTCCATTGTGGCAATCTCGAGGTGTTAGGGATTGACGCGGACCTGGCCAGTGGGGAAAAAGCGGAGGGGGAGGCGGAATGGGGAGGGAGGGACTGACTGAGTAGTGGACGAGCGGAGCTGACGGATGAGGTGAGGGGAGGAGGATTCCGGAAGGCGCACACGAAGCAGGACGGAGGGGCGGGTGCTGTACCCCTGAACCCCCTCACTACCATCGGCGAGCGAATCCAGTAGGGCGCGCGGTGGTGGTGGGAAAGGCGTGATAAGAGTGGCGGAGAAGCGGACACGAAGCGGAAACATGGAGCCGCCTCGGATTCTGGAGCTTGGCTCCGCCACGTGGAGGAATTTCCACCAAATTTTTTACGCGAACCACCCAGTGCTGGGCACGTAGGCTCTTTACCGCGAGCATCCTGTCGTCATCAGGGGCTGGTCCACGTTGGATTCGTCGTGCTGACATCGTGGTCAGAGAAGTGCACTTTACTGTCGTCGACAACGACCCAACAAACGGTTGAACCTTCCTGGGCTTGGATGCTGCGTGTGCAGCTTCCTTCCTACATGATCAGGGCTGGAAAGGCTCAGCCAATCAATGCCAAGCTCCAGCAATTGAAGATTTATGGTGAGGGGAAACAGAAACACTCGTTAAGATAACTAACGAGGTACCCGTATACCGAGTTGTTCAGTTCATTCCCCTATGCTGTAACCAGTTAATTCGGGGAACTCGCTGCTACTACCATGGCTTCGTTGACCTAGTTGTCGTTGCATTCGTCACGCTGCGTGCCTTCACCTGCTCTTTCAGCTGAAAGATGTCAGGCGGGTGAAGCTCCATTGCTCGTCCCAACCAGTACGTCGCCATGGCACCTTCTCGAGGTCCCGACACGGTACTCTTTGAAGACAACCGCCGCAACCGTCGCGTTGAGGATCCTGGGGTGAGAGCACTTGGAAGGATGGTGTCGAGTGAGTCATTGCCAGCATTCGCTCCACGGAACATGATAGCCAGTCCGACGGGCTTGAGTTCTGATTCGGGGTACCTTGCGAGGTCACCTAACGGATTCCTTGAAGGATTCCGCTGACCGCGTAGATACGAGTAGCAACGAGCGAGCTATCGTCGCAGCCTTGTGCTGGCTGACAGGCAACGTGACGTCATGTCAGGCGTCAGTCTGACTCGAACGTCTGGTGTTGTAGCAATTCCGGTCAGGAGGCGTGTCGACATGCTGCGAGCAATCATGTCTCGTGCCTTAATAGCTGCCGTCTTAATCGAGTCGAGCCTGTTGCTCCCACCCGTCGCTCTCGGCGATGCCTCGGCGACCAGCTCTGGCGACGGCGACAGCGACGGCGACAGCAGTGCCGCTCGCCACACTTCGCGCGGCGACGGGGCGACGGCGCGCACCATGGATTACATCTCGGACGATCCCTCCGCGGCTAACTTCCCCGGTACGACCACACGCGGCCATGCTGCTGCTGCTGGCGGCTGCGTCTCTCCCCTTAGGACAGCCTCTCGGGTCTCTCCTCCACTTTTCGCTGCTGCCTTGCCGCTGCCTTCCTCCTTCCTGCAGCGAATGCGTCGCCTTATCGGCATTCTCCATCTGCCACCCTCTCTTATCCCTCTGCTCTGCTCCCCCATCCCCGCCGCGCAGGTCCGCCGCGCGTGTCCACCAACTCATGCGCGCGCCCATGCAAGGTGCCGAACCCGCCGATCGTCATCAACGTGGGGTTCGAGCGCGACATTCTGCGTCGCGCCACGCTCCCCAACGACACGCTCGTGACCATGCTGCTGTGGAGCAACGTGCGCCTGACACGTGGACTAGTGTTCGGAGCCAACTTCTCGTGCACCATCTTCAACTCCACGCGCCCCGGCAGGCTCACCATCTCGCTGCCCAACACCGCGTGAGTGGCCTGCATGCAAGCACCAACCAATTCACGACGCCACTGTCTCCTCTCCTCCACTCTGTGCCGGCGCTCACTCGCTCCCCCATCATGCATAGGCAGCAATCTCCCGGACAGTTAACACCCTCCCTTGTTCATGTCCCTCCTCACATCCTTTCCTGCCATGCCCTCCTCCCACCCATCCGAGCACGGCACGCCAGTGTTATAGCTGTTCAGCACGCACAACATGCTCGTATCAACTTCACCTCACTCTCTTATGCTCTCTAACCGTTCCTGCCATAACACCCCACCCCACCCCCCCAACCCACCTCCTCGCGTGCATGTGCAGCACGCCAGTCCTGGAGCTGTTCAACACGCACAACGTGCTCGTGCACGGCATCAACTTCCACATCCCCGTGAGGGACTCCGACACCACCATCTGCCGCTTCCCCAACATCGACCAGGTGCGCCACGTCCACACTCGCCGCCACTCCTGCCCCACTATATTGGAGCCACTAGTGAGATTTTTTTACAAGTCATACTCGTGAAGGACGCTGATACCATGATCTGCTCTTTTGGTGACACTGATCAGATCAGGTGCGCGACATCTACATCGGCCGCAACTCCTGCCCCGCCCTTTTCTGAGTCGACTGAAATAAAAGCTTTCCCCGCGATCTGCTCTCCCCCCAACATGGAGCAGGTGCGAGACATCTACATCGGGCGCTACTCCTGCCCGGCCATCTTCCTCTTCCGTGTCTTCGCCGTGCAAGTCACACAGGGCATGGTGCACGGACGGATTGATGTCATGCGCGCCGCGTACTCGCGAATTGACAACATGCGAGTCACTGTGAATCCTGCCAATTGGCCGGCAGCCATCCGTGTGTCCTACTCTGGGCATGGCCCGACCCTGCAGCGCTCCAACGTATGGATTACAAACAATGAGCTGTTTTCCGGAGGGGAGGGGCGGGAGCAGGCGCAGCGGGCGCGCGTGGGGATCATGATCTTGTGGGGCGGGATAGGGGTGAACGTGATGAATAACCGCCTGCACGACTTTACCCTCGCGGGGATCCAGATGGGCCATGGCATGAACAACGTGGGCGATGCCATGTTGACCAAAGTGGCCTACAATGAGATTCGGCACGACTTTGGCGAGACAGGGGCGAACACGCGGCTGGACAACAGTGGGATTTACTTTGACACGCACTGGGTGAACCCTGGGAACTACCTGCGCTGCAACTATGTGTACCGTGGTGGGCACTGCCTGTACATCGACTGGGTGTCCAGTGGGGTCATCTCGGATGGGCTTGTGTGCGACCAGACAGCTGATGGGCTCAAGCTCAACTCTGGAAAGAAGTGAGTTGGGGATGGAGGTGCACATGCAGGGTGCCGTCAGTTGGATTTTCCTAATTTCTTGAAGCCTATCGTCCTTTGCTGTTCTCCCGCTACTCGCATAAGAACGGTATGTTCCCAATACGAATTCTCTTGATTCTTTTTCTGCATCGTCTTTTTCTGCTCCGTGTGGCTGGCAGCAACATGATACTGGGCATGGTGATGATCAACACGACGCAGTTCTCAGTGGGGTACATCTCATGCCAGAACAACCACCTCAACAACTGTGATAACTACGCCGGCCCCAACTGGAACCGCCTCCTCAAAACCTACTTCCAGACGCCCGAGATTCGATGGGTGCGTTATTCACTCAGCCCCACTTGGCCTGTTTGTCCAGATTCTTTAGCGCATTGATGTTGACATGTCTCTTGCGTCTCCTGGCTGCTGTTTTTTGCCGTTATCTCACTACACTCCCCCCTTGCTCTGTCCTTTGTCTGGTGCAGAATTATCCTTATCTGACCAACTTTTGTGGGAAGAACCGCATCAACGGCATTGACTGCAACAACGGCACAGATGCTGCTCACAGCCGCGCGGTCACATCTGGATGCAGCGGGCTTCCCACTGAGAACTACGCAGAGCTAGTTTCTGCCACCCCGTCAGGCTCTCCAAAATATGTCATCTACATGCCCAACTGTGCGCCCTTCCCTTCCGTGCCTGCTCTCAACCGCATGCGGTATTTTGCCACGAGTATCGACAAAGCAGGGTTCAGGGATTCTAAGAATGGGGATTTTGGGCTGAGGAGCAACTCCGATGTGTTGAAGCGGTTCCCGCAATTCAGAAGCTGTCCAAAGCAAATGATTGGTCCCAAACCACAATCATACAATAGTTACTTCAATCTGTTCAACATACCCCTGCCCTCAGTGAGGCCTGCACTAAGGAGGAACTATGTTAGCCCCCGATGAATGCAGATTGTTATATGAACCATGGGTCAGGTTAGGATATAAATCTCCATCTTCCGCATTGGTAGGCAGCAGTAGTTTGGTAGTTGCAACTTCAGAGTTTCATGTTGTGTGTCTCATTATTATATGGCTGTGTCAGTTCTTGGTTGTCACATATGTCACCAGCCAGCTACCCTCTACCGCGTTTTTGTTTGTTCCTGTCTCCTCTGTTACCGTTCCCGTCAGTTGGCGGGTGTATGCAACCCAAAAATCCGTCAGAGCTAATTGCGTCGGTGCGCCTCCCGTGCGATCATGTGAGCCAGGAAGGTCACGCCTGCCGCCAGCCGCAATTGGGTTGAATTTGGCGGGTTTGCGAAACCTTCAGTCGCAATTCCCAACGACCTTTTCGTCGCACGCCAGGCAGAACCAGGCTCCGCGGTGCGGATCACCTCAGGGCGACAAGCACATCGCGGCGAAACCGAGGTGACCTGACCAGTGGTCGTCGAAACTCGTCCGCACGACACTCTCGACGCGTTCCCTTCCCATCCCACCGTCCCCGTTCCGTCCCGCCTTTCCGCCAACCACCCAGCAACTCCCCCGCCATCCTCCGCTACCCTACCTTGACTTGGCTCCTCAGTTTGATCGTGGTTGCTGACTCCTGAATCCCCCAATCGCTTGCTGTTGTGCACTTGCTTGGTGTGTAGCTTTCCCGACCAAAACAGCCAACTAGCCTGTCACCACAACACGTCGTCGTTATTCCTACTCCGTAGCTTCGCTCCAGCTCCTGTCTATCTTTCCGCGTGGTTTCAATGAATTGCCGTGCGTGACCTCTAACTAGTCGCAGAGGTCGACGCGTTCTTGGTAGTTAGCTCATGTGAAGAGTGAAGAATTTCGTGCTTCTTAGAATCTACTCGTCCTTCATAACGTTAGGAATGACGGTCAATAGATTCTTGCAATGACGAAGGTGTATCAGGCTTGGAAAGGCAGTAACGTAAGTCTTCCTAATAGATTCCTTGTGACGCCCTAGGTCCACCGCTTTTCCTCGTCAGTATATGCAGCACTTGCTACCACTTTCTCTTGCCGCTGAAACAACTCCAACCATTCTTGCTCGTACATCCGATCTACCTCGTTACCCTTGCAGAATTTCTTCTGCTGGGGTCGCTGCATATTCGGTCCGGACGTGCGGTCGCTCTTCATATCCATCGCCCTTATATCCATACCGGGGACGCTTTTCTGCATATTCGTTGGCGCTCAGTTCATCAATAAAGTACCGGGTGGCATCGCGATACTAATAGTCGGAATATGTCTCGTAGTGTGGGTGAGTAGTGTAACTCGTAGCCACCTCCATCCTACCCATCGCCGAGGATTCCTTATCTCGTTACTCTCGAAGCTGAGTCGATATCAAACGCGCTACATCTCCCACACTCGATGCCGTACTTCTTACTGATGCTTCTTCCAATTCCAAATCCTTGTCTCCTCGTCGCTGCACCTCCCTCCGACGCTTCAGACTATGAGTTTATCGCCTTCCTGGTTGCCACCTTCGTTCCACCTCCACAGCTCCGATCTCCCCGTCCCCCATCCACTCTACCATCCTCCGTAGTCCTGTGTTCAGCCTGTTGGTCGGCATGAGTGTACAATGTGCATGTGCGTATTGGATGCGTGTAGGGCTCACTTTCAATCCAGCTGCCATCAACACCCATCCCATTTCAACCCGTCTTCCTCGTCGCGGCTTTCCATCCCCCCTTCATACCTCCCCCATCCCCTCTCCCATCCACCTTCTCTCATCCCCCCTCCCATCCCACCTGTCCCATCCCCCATCTGCCATCCTCCCGCTCCCATCCCCCCTTCCCCTCCCCCTCCCATCCAACCTTTCCCTCCACCTCCCACACACCCCCCTGTCGCACCCATTCCTTCCCATTCCTCCTTCCCTATCCACCCTCCACTAACCCTCCTCACACTTCCCCCATCTCTCATTCCCCATCCCCTGCCCCCTCTCCCCTACGCCGCTGCGCGCAGGATCTGTGCGTGCTGCTATTCACCTCCAGCCGCGACCCGGGCATAGTCCCGCGCAACACACAGCCCCCCGAGCCGGACGGTGACGTGGAGGCGCCGCGGCCGTCGGGAGGGCGGCGGCTGCCGCGGACGAAGGACGTGGTGATAAAGGGCAAGACGGTGAAGGTTAAATACTGCGACACCTGCATGCTGTACCGGTGAGCATGGCGCGTGCGTTCTCTCCTCATTCCCAGAGCCTTTATTCAAATAGCCTTTATGAGAGAGCCTTCATCTTCTTCTCTTCGGTGTCTACAGACGCAATTTTGGATCCGCGCCTTTTTTCCCCCATCCACCCCCCTCCATCCGGGAGCTGCTTCCGCTCCAGCATCACACAAAGTTCTCCTCCCGCATCCCCTCTCCCGCCACCCCGTCTTCCTGTGCGCGGCAGGCCGCCGCGGTGTTCGCACTGCAGCATCTGCAACAACTGCGTGGAGAGATTCGACCACCACTGCCCCTGGGTGGGCCAGTGCATCGGCAAGGTGCACGCTGCAGGGGGGTATTGGCGCGTAGTGCACAGGCAGGGGGAGGGGGGAGGAGGGAATAGGCACGTGCAGGGGCAGGTAGAGAGGTGAGGAGGGGGAGAAGCCACGGCAGTGCAGAGGCAGGGGAGAGCCGGACTTGGCAGCCCACACTTCATAGGGCGCATAACGAGGCAGCCTTTTGGTTCTCACGTGCAGCGGCAGGGGGGGAGAAGCGGAATCCACGCCAGTGCAGAGGCAGGGGAGGAAGGGAGTTGGGACCAGGCACCAGGCACCAGGCACCAGGCACCAGGCACCAGGCACCAGGCATTAGGCACCAGGCATTAGGCACTTCATAGGTCGCGTTATGAGCTAGTCCTGTTTCTCACCCTTCATTTGCATGCTATTCTGCTGAACTGTTATCTCTCCTCCACCACCCAACCACCCTCGCCTCTCCGTCCTCCCATGCCCTGCCCCCCGTCCATCCCTGCAGCGCAACTACTGCTTCTTCTTCCTCTTCGTGTGCTCCACCACAGCGCTCTGCCTTTTGAGTCGACTCAAAAGTCCCTTTTAAAAAACTTCCTCCCCCCCCCCCCCGGTCAATCCCTGCAGCGCAACTACCGATTCTTCTTTCTCTTCGTGTGCTCCACCACGGCGCTCTGCATCTATGTCTTCTCACTCTCCGCCTACCTCATCAAGGTACCTCTCGCTGCCATCCCTCCTGCTGCTCACTGCTGCCCCTCTTGCTACTCATTTCCGCCCCCCTGCTGCTCATTGCCGCCCACCTGCTGCTCATTGCCGCCCACCTGCTGCTCATTGCCGCCCACCTGCTGCTCATTGCCGCGCTTCTGCTGCTCACTGCCGCCCCTCCAAGTGCCCAGAACTCACTATGCCCGTCTTTTCTGTTGCTCCTTCCTTTTCACCACTCCACCAACCCACTACGATCTAACCACTCGCACCCGCCCCATCCCCTGCCCTCACCGCGCAACCCCCGTTCCTGCCCGTGCCTCCGCCAGGTGCTCATGGACAATGCGTACGAGCCGGGGGGGGAGACGCGCACGGTGTGGCAGGCGCTGGGGCAGGCGCCCATGGCGGCCGTGCTCATGGCGTACACCTTCCTCGCCGTCTGGTTCGTTGGGGGCCTCTCCGCCTTCCACCTCTACCTCATGTCCACCAACCAGGTCCGCCCCTCCCCCTCCTCGCCCCACCGTAAACCCAAAACCAAAACGTGAAAACCGAACTCAGAACCAGATTTTGAAAGACCAACAGATGTGCATGTCTCTTGCATCAACCACCTTGTTGTGTGCCTTTCCTCCCGCCCCCCACCCCCTCTGCATGGCCCACAGACGACGTATGAGAACTTCCGGTACCGGTACGACAAGAAGCGCAACCCCAACAACCGCGGCATCATGCGCAACGTGTACGAGGCGCTCTGCTCGCCCATCCCGCCCTCCCGCAACCACTTCCGCGCCGACCTCCCCGACCCCTCCGCCCCCCAGCCCCCCACAGCCCCCTCCGACCCCCAACAGCCCGAGCTCTCCGCTGCCATCCCCCCTGCGCGGCGCCACAGCAAGGGGTCTAGGCCCGGGTCGAGAGGGTCGTCTGGGGGAAGGTCTCCTGCGCAGCGGGGGGGGAAATCGCCTGCGCAGCGGGAGTATGATTTGGTGGAGGTGACTAAATTGAGGGAGGACGAGGGGGGGCAATTGGCGGATCAAATCGTGGAGGCGGGCGGCGTGATGCCGTCTGGTGCGGGGGTGGCTCGGTCGGGGTCGAGAGATGGGTCCGGGCGGGAGAGTGGGGGGAGCGGGCGGAAGGGGGGGAAGAAGAAATCGCATAGTGGGAAGCTGAGGGAGAAGGGGGAGGGGCGGAAGGGGAAGCATAGAGATAGAGGAGAGGGGGATGGGGCAGGGGAGGGAGTGGAGGGGGCAGTGGGGGTTGGGGATGTGGTGGGAGGAGGGGGAGGAGGGATGGGGGGGCAAGTGGCAGTGGATCTGCAAGGGCAGGAGTACGTGCAGCGGAGGTACAGCCCCGTGCCCGACGTTCCTAGAGACGGGCTCTAGCCTCCTCTAGGAGCAGCAGACTGCTTGAGATGTCTCACAAGTTGCTCCTTCAAGGCATGAGTTGGGGATGCTGGTGCCCTGCTGCTTGAGATGGCTCAACACTCTGGCTCCAAGGCAGGAGCTCGAGGTGCAGGTGCAGGTGCAGATGCAGGTGCTCTGGCCACTGTGATTGGAGCCGTTTCAAGTGCAGCGACCCCAACTGTTGTGGCTTGCCCAGACAAGCATGGGCACCAGCCTCCAGGACGCTTCTTCTAACAGCCGGCCTCAACTGTTCATCATTCATTTGCATTGTCCTAACCACCATTCTGATACGTTGCCTTCTGCTGCTGCTGCCACTGCCTCCGCCGTGGCTGCTGCTGCTGCTACTGCTGCTGCAGCTGCTTCAGTGGGCAAGGCAAGGCAATAAAATGCACCAGCGCATGCTTACTCTTGTGGTTGCCGCACTGCTTGTGCCTCAAACCGAGGTCTAGGGTATCTCGTAGGTCTAGTCTAGTGCACTGCCTCACTGGTGTTTTTAACATAGCAGCAAGTTCAGCTGGCGGCCGCTAATTCCATTCCTCCTTGCCCCATCAGCACTGCTCGACTGCATGAAATGGGCTCTCTATGCTTTGCGAATTTTACCTAACTCATCATGCTTTTTTCGCCTAGAACCAAACTGACAATCAGCTATTTGTCTAGTCAACACCTATTAACAGCAATCTGCTTCCCCTATTTCCCTTATCTACACCACGCTTATTTTTTTGAATCCGCATACCTAGCACAGGGAATAGACCCTGGTCACAAGCCACTGTGGTCTATTTGGGAGGTGGGAATGTGATGTCATGTCAAGTCATGTCATGTCAGGGCAGGAACTTGGCGACCAGAGCTGCACTCTCCGCACACCTGAGGCATGCATGCAGGGGAGAGCAGGTAGGAGGCAAGGGGGAAAGGGGAGCATGAGAGGGGGGAGGAGAGCAGTAGCAAGGGGAGGAAGAGGGCAGGAAGTGGGAGGTGAAGAGTGAAAGACCGTTTGTCTGACCATTCTGAGGTGATCAAAAGCAGCCCAAGCCCCTTGCACATCAAGGCCAACCCAGCAATCATCACATGTCACTATCACATGCCACCATCGTGCCACCATCATGCCACCATCATGCCACCATCATGCCACCATCATGCCACCATCATGCCACCGTCATGCCACCATCACATGCCACCATCATGCCACCATGACATGAAAGCAGCTCAAGCCACGCACCGCATGGGTTCGTTCCACAGCCGCTGAAACACTATCGTGTGCAGCCGGCTCTGCTGCCACCTGTCAACCCCCCATTGGTCGTACAGCCTCAGCCTCTCCCCCCGCCCCATCGCCGCCCGCACCGCCCGCATCACCGCCGCCCGCTGCTCATGCTCCTTCCTGGCAGCTTCCTCCAGCTGCACCTCCCCATCCAGCATCACCCCCAGTGTCTCCCCACACCCGTCCCCCCTCCCCCCTCTGCCTCTCCTCTCCGCGGCCTCACACTGTCTCTGCAACCTCTCCACCTCTACCAATACTGCTTCTGGCGACCACGCATCCATGCAGCTGTGCGTGCGGTGCAGAGCGGTGCTGCTGGTGAGAGAGTGGTTCGCAGCGGCAGCAGCGGCAGGCCCGGCGGCACCGGCGGGGGAGAGGGAGAGGGAGAGGGAGAGGCGGTGGAAGGTGCGGGATCGCTCTCGCAGGTCCGTGTGGAGGTGCGCCCACAGCGAGCACAGCTGCAGCACCGCTGCTGCTAGGGGGTCGGGGGAAAGGGGGAGGGGGAGGGATGGGGAGGGGGAGAGGCGCTGCAGGGGGAGGGGGGAGGCAGGGGAGATGGAGGGAGGTGGGGTGGTGGGGGTGAGGGCGAGGCGGAGAAGGGGGGGGATGGGAGGAGTGGAGGGGGAGGGGCGAGACAGGGATGAGGTGAGGGCAACGGCGGGGTGGAGGATGACTGCACCCTCTTCTCCGCCCTCCTCCTCTGCACCTCTCCTTGCACCCCTCGTCCTGTCCCCCATCCCTCCCTCCGCCTCTCCCTCCCATGCGGCCAGATCGTTCTGAGCGCCCAACTCCAGTGCAGCAGCATTGCCCGGTGCGCCACAGGTCTCTGCCGCAGCAGCAGCACCACTTGGTGTGACAGCCGTGTGCGTGTGCGTGTGCGTGTGATGCTCATCGTCCCACAGCAGGCGGTCCCACGCGCCCACCACCTCCCACACCACACTGCTCATCCGCCCCTTCCTTCCATTGCCGCCCCTGCTGCTGCTCCCAGATTCCGCCTCAGCAACACCTGCCAGCTCAGCAGCATCTGCCACCTCAGCAACACCTTCGAGCTCAGCAGCACCTGCCAGCTCAGCATCAGGCACAGGCTGCTCCAGCAGTACGGCTCCTCCCCAACCACTCGCCTTGCCTTGAGCACCCTCCACCGCCTCTGCCTCTGCTGATGCCTCCCCTGGCGCCTCTTCCTCCCCGACCTCCTGCCTTGCACCTACCTCATCACCCCCCTCCCCTTCGCCCTCCTCCTTGCACTCACCCTCCCCTTGGCCATCCCAGATCACGTCCGTGCTGTGCTGCAGCAACCACTGCGCCATCTCCCTGTATGACAGCCCGCCACCAACCCCCTCCTGCCCCTCCTGCTCCTCCTGCCCCTCTGCCTCCGCTGCATGCTGCCCCTCCATGCCGCTCTCCACCGCATCCAGCTCATCCGATTCCACTGCCAAGCCCCGCTTCTCGCCAGCGCCCCCCATAAGCGCCGCCAACTGCTGCCACAACTCGCCCTCCCCTTCACTCCCCTCCTCTGCACCCCCCTCTGCCACCACCACTCGCTCTCGCCCATCCTCCACCTCCCCATCCTCCCACTCCCCACCTTCTTGCTCCAACTGCAACAGCATGTCAACACCCCAACCTCTCTCTCCCAACTTGTCCCAAACCCCCTCGTGACTCTCGTCCGCCCCATCCCCCCCATCCCCCCCTTCCCCCGCGTCTCCCCCCATGAGCGCGCGCAGCAACTCCAGATCCACCGCGTCTCCCTCTAACACCGCCTCCGCACGTCCGCCCCCTTCTGTGCGCGCTGCTTCTCCCCCTACTCCCACCCCCGCGTCCCCTTGGCAAGTGGCGTGCGGGGGGGAGGGAGGGCGGGGGGAAGAAGGGGAGTCCGCGAGGAGGAGGGGGGGAGGGGCGCCATGTGCTGCGCATGCAGCCCCTGCTGTCGCCGCCGCTGCTGGCGCTGGCGCTGGTGATGCGGAGGGGGATAGCGACCGGGGGAAGGGGGACGGGGAAGGGACGGGCGGAGAGGAGGGGCGGTGGGGGGGCGAGGCGGGGAACGGAGGGGCGGAGTGGGCGGAAGCAGAGGGGCGGGGAGAGGGGAAGAAGAGAGCAGGGGAAGTAGATAGATAGTTGGGGGAGGAAGGAGGGGAGGACGGACGATACGCCAACGTGGCAGCTGCGATGGCTGCTGACGTGGCAGACGCGAAGGGGATGTGGGCGAGCGGTGCAGTGCGGTGCAGTGAGGAGGAGGGGGAGAGCAGGCGCACAGGCAGCAGCAGCCTGCGGGGCCTCCTTCTGCCGGGGCGAGTGCTGTGATGCACGTGGTGTAACTGCGCTCGCGTTCTCTGCCCTTTCCCATCCACCTGCCCCTCATGCTGCTGATGCGCCTGCTGTCCCCCCTTTCCCGCCTCACCAACCCCAGCATCGCTCCCCTTTATGCTGCTTCCTATCTGTCCTTCCCCCTTCTCCACCCCCCAACCTTCCGCCACCAGCGCCACTCTCCCCCACTCATCCGCCCCCAGCACCCACTCACCCCCCCCGCCCGCCCCTGCCCCCTGCGCCCTCCGCCGCTGCTGCTCCACGGCGCACCATGTAACCACGGACTGGTTACCACACAGCAACGGGTCTGCAGGTACACGGCGTCACAATGTAACACAGGGGGGTATAAAGCGATGCGATAAAGTGTGATGAGGTGGGCATTGTGGGGCGCCCGTGATTGCACCACCGCGTGCAGCACTCACCCGCTGCAGTGCGCACAACCAACATTCGCGCACAGCCCACCCGCGGAGCAGCACACGCACCTCGAATGTCAGGAGCTGCGAGCGCGGAGGGCGCAAGGTGCGCGGGGCGCTGGGGGGGGATGGTGGCGGCGGAGGGCGGAATATGCAGCGGCTGCTGCTGCAGGTGGCGGCGCACCTTTCCCCAATACCGCTGCGTCTTGCTGTACCGCGTCCCCCGCGGCCCGCCTGCTCCGTTAGGGGATTTTTTGAAGGGGAGAGGGGTGGGAGGAGGGAGTGGGAGGAGGGAATGGGAGGGAAACGGAGGGGTAGGGGGATGGAGTTGTGAGGAGATGGAGTCGGGTAGGGAAGAGGGTGGAGGGGACAAGGGGAATGGAGGATGGGAAGGACACGAGCTGGTGAACGGGACAAGGAGAGGGCCGGGGGAGAATAAAGAGAGGGGAGAGTGGGGAGGGGGAAGGGGGGAGCGGGGGAGAGCGGGGGAGAGCGCGGCGGACCGTTGTGCGCCTTGGCGAGGAGCTCCCAGTCGAGCGTGCGGATGGCGTGCGGGCAATAGCGCATCCAATACGACACCACCGTGTCCTCCGCGTGCCCCAGCTCCCTGCCGCCACCCGCCATGCCGCAAGCCGCCACGCCGCCATTCCGCCATGCCAGCACGCCGCCATGGGAAGAGGGAAGGGAAGATGGGAAGTTAGGCGTCAAGTTGCAAGAATGGCGGCCATGCACAGCGATCCAACAGCCGGATTAGTATATATCGCTAGCCGCTAATAACCGTCACTTACAGCTAATGCCACTAATGAACCACGGTTCCGCTAATACTGCTCATACCCGCTAATAACGCTAATACCGCTCGTACGGTCAATAGCGGCTATTACCGCTAATAGCCGCTGGTACGGTCAATAGGCGTTAATACCGCTAATAGCCGCTAATACCGCTAATAGTCGCTAATACCGCCAACAGCCGCGCTGCGAGCATCACCTGCACTGCGACCACGGTCCCGTCAGCGGGCCCCACGCGTCGCGATGGTACTCCTCCGATATCTGCAGCGGCCCGATGCTCTTCCCGTTGTCGCCGTCAGGGCAATTCACCCTGAAAAATGTGCACGGAAGAAACGACGGAAATAGGAGCTTAAATGAGGAGAAATGGGAGGGCGGAGAGCGCCGGCGCGAGGAAGGGATACAAAGCATACGGTCGTTCACAAGTCACGCTGCATCTGGTTCGCACCTGTTACTCGACTCGACGAATCTAAGCGCGTTAAGCAGCGGCCGCAACTGCCGCTTGGTCTCTTCAACCACGTGACGCGGCACCGAGTAGTCAGCCCCCTCCCTCCGTCGCACGCTGCCGCGAGATCCGCTACGCAAAGCGGCGCCGCCAGGCACGCCGCAGCTCGCGCCGATGCCCACGGAGGAGTCGGGGAAGGTCGTGTGGAGCCATACCCCGTGCCGCGTCAATACCACTTGCGGCGTTGTCGATTCCCCGTCGCCATCCCCACCGCCGCTGCTGCTGTTGCTCGGCATGGCAGGCTGGTGGAGGCGACTACGCGCCGCGACTTAAACGACACTTCAGGAACACATTTTGATAATGGATCTCGTATATTTAGAAAATAAAACCTAGAAATTTCCGGCCAATGCCATTTTCTTGCTTCAGATAATGTCAAGCACCGCCGTTATCTAATGTCCACTCAATACCGCAGTGCGCCACTCGACCCAGTGCGCTTCGGATACTCGCCAGATTCCCTGTCGTTAGGAAAACAATACCGACTACGAGCAGGATAGAAAGAATGCATGTGATATCAGGCGCGGTGATAGCGGAGGAGAGGGATCGACTTGGTTGGGATGGGAAGGATGGAGGTGAGGCGAGGCGCAGGGGGAAATCGAGAGGGTGGTTGGGAGGGAGGAGAAAATCGAGGGTGCTTTAGTTCTTCGTCCTGCCCGGCAACTTGTGCGAGATTTCCCTTTCTTCGCATCCACCAATCTTCCCAAACCAACGGGCCCCCCAATCAATCACATTTCGCCAGGCTCGCCCCGCCTGAAGTCCACATCCAAGCCGCCCCTCATGCGAGCCCCTACTGACCAACAAGACTGCTCTCCTATTGGTCATTAGAACTGCCGAGCTTCGAGTGCTGGCTCGAGAAGTGTAATTTCAAGTTGCTGGTGGTTGATTGTGGTTCGGACCCCGTTGGAGCAAACCTCGAGGAAGATTCATGCTTCCGAGGAGCCTTGGGAGTGGCTCGGAGCCTTGCGAAGGCGTGACGAACCTGAGGGCGCAGCACAACAAATCAAATTTGTTCTAGCCGCCGAGCCAAGATTTCTAAACTCGAATGCTGTTCTTTCGGTGCCTTCGACATAAGAACCCTAATTCGGTTGAGGGCCCAGAACCTCGCATCTCAGATTCCAGGTCAACCCCATAAATCGCGCCCTCTCCTCAGCACTCATTGAGACAACGCATTGCACGGGTTTCCTCCCCATGGCGGCCGAGCCTCACGGCCGGTACCTTTTCGCGGGCGACGTGGAAGGTCGCCTGAATCTGCTGTTCAAACGAGCCGCTGCGGTGAGTCGCCGTGGCGGTGCTGCCATTGGGGAATCTCGCGATTAGGAAATTCGTTGTCCGTTCCGCGCAAACCTATAATTCGAGGAACAAAAATCCCGTGTGTCCAAGGGTCTCTGCCATAATACGCTCTAATTCATCCACCTCTTCGCCGCTCCACCAATCGCAGGTGAACAAGTCCAACGGTCCTTTCGACTGTCTCTTCTGCGTCGGCGCTTTCTTTCCGCCCTCGGATCCCGCTACCGCCGCCGCAGGCGGAGCGGGCGGCCAATCAGAGTTGGAGGATTACATCGCGGGGCGCGCCAAGGCGCCGCTTCCGACGTTCTTGATTGGCGACATTGGAGTCGGCGCGCAGCGACTGCTGGAGATTGCTGTGCGTGGAGGAGGAGGGGCGGCGACGCGAAAAGAAGGGGAAGCAGCGGAGGAGAAAGTGAAAGAGGAAGGAAAGGAAGAACAGAAGGAGGAAGCAGAAGAGGGAGGGAAAGGGGAGGGGGAGGAGAAAGGGGAGGGAGAGGACAAAGGTGAGGGGGAGGAGAAAGGGGAGGGAGAGGACAAAGGTGAGGGGGAGGAGAAAGGGGAGGGAGAGGACAAAGGTGAGGGGGAGGAGAAAGGGGAGGGAGAGGACAAAGGTGAGGGGGAGGAGAAAGGGGAGGGAGAGGACAAAGGTGAGGGGGAGGAGAAAGGGGAGGGAGAGGACAAAGGTGAGGGGGAGGAGAAAGAGAAAGGGGAAGAGACACGGGAGGGGGAGGGGGATGGAAGCAAAGCGGTCGGTGAAGCAGGGGAAGGGGAGGAGAGCAAGGGGGAGGTTGGGGCGGGCACGCAAGGAGGGGGGTCAGGGGGAGGCGAGAAAGAGGAGGATGAGGAGGTGGGGGAGGGGGAGTGGCGGTCGCACAGGCGCGTGAAGATATGTGACAATATCGAATGGCTGCGCGGAGCAGGCATTGCTGACCTGTGCGGTGCGTGTGTGGACTTTCAAACAAAACCAGTGGCCGATCATTGATCGTGTGTCGTCATACTGTGCGCTCTCTGCTTTGATTCCAAAGGCCAGATGAAGCCGTCCCCTCTCTGCCTGCCTCCTGGATCCAATCCGCCCTACCTGTCTTCCACCCCGCCCCTTCCCTCCCTGTTCCGCCCCACAGGCCTCAAGGTGGCCTATCTGGGCGGCAGATACGATCCCGCCACGTACCTCTCGGGGCAGGCGGGCGGCACGGGGGTGGCGGAAGGGCGGCAGGAGCGGGCGGCAGTGGAGGCGCTGGTGGATGCGGGGGCGGACGGGGCAGCAATAGACGTGCTGCTGACCAATGAGTGGCCCAAGGGGGTCGCTGCTCTCACCCACCCCTCCCTGCTGCCCTCGCCTCCACCCGCCACATCAGCGTCGGCGCCTGCCAGCGTGGACTGGGCGGGGGTGGGGTCGCCTGTTGCTGCCACGCTGGCCAAGGAGCTCATGCCACGGTGAGAGGAGGGGGGGAAAGGGAGAGTGGAGGGGTAGAAAGGGTGGAATGGGTGGGGTTGTTGTTGGGTGGGAACGTGCAAGCCCCCATGTGCAAGCCCCCATGTGCATGCCCCCATGTGCAAGCCCCCATGTGCATGCCCCCATGTGCAAGCCCCCATGTGCATGCCCCCATGTGCATGCCCCCATGTGCATGCCCCCATGTGCATGCTCGCTCGTGCAATCGAGCGGCATGCGTGCAGCTGCTTGCACCATCGTCACTCCCACCCACATGCCTCTTGTATCCATCGATTCTGCACCCAGCATCAGCCCTCTCTCTCTCTCTCTCCCTCTCTCTCTCTGCCGCCCAGCTACCACGTGGCTGGTGGCGCGGGCGCCTTCTTTGCCCGCCCGCCCTACATCAACTCCTCCGCCGCCACATCAGCAGAAGACGCCTCCACGTCAGCATCCGGTCCCGTGACGCGGTTCATAGGTCTAGCCCCCGTGGGCAACAAGGCGAAGCAAAAGTTCCTCCACGCGCTCTCCCTGCGCCCCGCCTCCTCCCTCCCCCTCTCCGACCTCGCCGCCCGCCCCCCCGATGCCACCCCCTCCCCCTTCCTCCCCCGCCCTACATCCGCCAAGAATCAAATCTGGACCGGCAGCCTCGCCGCCCCTGACGGTGCCGCCCGGGCTGCTGCCGCCGCCGCCCAGGCGAAGGCGGAGGAGACCGCTGCGAAGCGCACCTTCTGGGAAAGTTCCGACGGGGGGAAAGGAGGGGGGGAGGGGGCGGTAAAGCCTGCATGGGCGCTAAAGGTGGAGGAGGAGGAGGCGCGGGGGGCGGGGGGGGCGGGGGAGGGGGAGCAGTACTGGCGGTACGCTGCAGGGAAGAAGAGGGCACGGCGGGACGGTGGGCCGGGGGGAGGGGGCAGGGAGGGGCCTCAGGTGTGCTTTGAGCTGTCAGGCAAGGGGGTGTGCTCGCGGGGCGATGCATGTCGGTTCATGCACACTCTAGAGGACGGGTCACCGCTGCCTCGCAACCTGTGCTTCGAGCACTTCAGCAAGGGCAGCTGCAGCCGGGGCACGGACTGTCGATTCAGACACTCGCTGGCGGGCGGGGAGGCGGGGGGAGGAGCGGGGGAGGGGCAGGGGGGAGGCGGGAATGCTGCTGCTGGCTCTGTTGCTGCTGCCGTTGCGACGGCTGCTGCTGTTGCTGCTGCCGCTGGCGTGGGGGGCAGCAGTGGCGGAGCAACAGACCTGCCCAAGGGAGTGTGCTTTGACTTGGTGCGGCGGGGCAGCTGCACTCGCGGCGACACCTGCCGCTTCGCCCACTCGCTCCCCTCCACCTCGCCCGGCCTCCTCGCCACTCCCCCTCCCCTCACCCCCGCCTCCCTCGCCGCACTGCTTGCCCCGCCTGCAGCAGGGGGGCCGGCAGGGGGCGCAACGGGGGGAGCTGGGGGAGCAGGGGGAGCAGCGCCCCCCACCCCAGCGCCATGCTGGTTCTGCCTGGCGTCCCCCAAAGTGGAGACTCACCTGGTGGTATCGGTGGGCGAGCACTGCTATGTCGCCCTACCCAAGGGTCCCTTAGTGCCCGGACACGTGCTCATCCTCCCTATAGAGCACTTCCCTAGCGTCATCTCGCTGCCATCCGACGCGCTGGCGGAGATGTGGCGGTATATGGGAGCCCTGAGGAAGTGCTTTGAGGCGCAGGGGCAGACGGTGGTGGCGTTTGAACGGTTTCTGCAGCTCAGAGCCGCCACACATGCACACGTCAATGTGAGTGGAATGGATGAGTGGGAGTGTGGCGGAGATGTGGCGGTACATGGGCGCGCTGAGGAAGTGCTTTGAGGCGCAGGGGCACACCGTGGTGGCGTTTGAACGCTTCCTGCAGCTCAGAGCGGCCACGCACGCGCATGTCAGTGTGAGTGGGAGTGTGTTGGACGATCTAAAGAGGATTAGCTGCGCATTGCACGTGGTGTCATTCCTCCTGGCACATGGCGCTCCCTGCCTGGTGGTGTTGATGTGACTTGGCCCCTCACCCACCTCCAATGCGCTCTCCCATCCTTTCTTCCCCACTACTCACTCCTCTTCCCCCTTTGCTCACCATGCGTGCATCATACATGCAGGTGGTGCCCATCCCCCAGGGCAAGGCGGACCAGGTGCTGCCTGCCTTCACTGCCGCTGCTGCCTCCCACAACTTCCAGTTCGCCTCCGTGCCAAAACCACCTGGTAAACTACCTGAACTCCTAAGCACCATTGTTAAAACACCCGGTAAAGCACCTGGGCTCGAAGCCACGGTGGATGCACCTGAACTCGTGAACTTGGTCGTGTTTGACCGTCAGGTCTCTCCTTCCTCCTCGCACCTCCGTGCCTCCCTCCTCGCACCTCCGTGCCTCCTTCCTCGCACCTCCGTGCCTCCTTCCTCGCACCTCCGTGCCTCCTTCCTCGCACCTCCGTGCCTCCTTCCTCGCACCTCCGTGCCTCCTTCCTCGCACCTCCGTGCCTCCTTCCTCGCACCTCCGTGCCTCCTTCCTCGCACCTCCGTGCCTCCTTCCTCGCACCTCCGTGCCTCCTTACCTCCTCACCTCTCCCCACTCCTGGCTCCACCCCATCTCCCCTGCACACACCAGACGGACAGCACATGGCGGTGGTGGACGAGGTGAAGAAGCAGAGCCGGGGCGGGCAGTACCTCACAGTGGAGCTGCCCGATGCCTCGCTGCTGGTGCACGCCATCGACCGCGGGGCCAAGCTGCCCATGCAGCTGGGGCGCGAGGTGAGGGGGGGTTGGGCGAGTGGTGAGACGCGGGCGGGAGAGAGGTGTTGCGCAGGTGGGGAGGAGGTGAGGCTTTGCATGTAAGCAGGCCATGCTGCCGTGACACCTGCTTCTCTCTGCCTTGCCCCCCCATGTGTGCCTCGCATGCATTAACCCCCCAACCACATGCCCCCCCCTGCCTCATGCCTTCCCATCTCTACCTGTGATGGCAGGTGGTGGCGGGGGTGGTGGGGGTGCCGGAGAGGGGCGACTGGAGGGCGTGCAAGGAGACAGCGGAGGAGGAGGCAGCCATGGCTGACGCATTCAAAAAGCAGTTCCAGCCGTTTGACATCATGGGGTGACCACTTGACTTGATGACCTATCCACCTGTTTTGACAGCATGGGGTCATGGCAACCATTTTGACATAGTGAGGCGTTTAGGGGAGATGCCTTGGAGATAAGCAGTTCCACGTGTGTCACAGCATGGGCTCGCCCCCTTGAGGCCGAGTGCATGTGTCCAAGCTTCATCAACGCAATACAAGATTTCATTTACCAGAACGTACAGCGACGAAAATAGAGCATCAATACAATGCCATGATACGGAAGCAAACAGCTACAAGGCACGAGGCGCAGCCTAGAAGTTGTCCTTCATGCGCCGGAGAGCTGCAAAGACGTCAACGTCTGCGGCATCACTGCTCATGTGCAATGACTGGCGGATATCAGTGCTGGCGGCGCGCAGGAAGGGGTTGGTGGCCGCCTCCCCGCCCACTGTGCTGGGGATCTGGCGAGGCGGGGGAGAGGGGCCGTGGGAAGAGTTTGGGCGGATTGGGGGTGGGTAAATGGGCAGGTGGGTGGATACGGGGATGGGCAGAGGTGGGCAGAAAGGTAGTGCAGAAGAGGAGGCAGGAATGACATGCACATGCACATGCACAGGTGGCAGATGAATGGGCGGAGAGGAGGATGGGGCTCACAGTGGGCAGCGATTGGGATCGCAGGCGGGTGATCTCATGCACCCGCTGCTGCAGGGCGGCGTTGTTTGGCTCCACTGCCATTGCAAACCGCGCATTGGCCTGTGTCGTTTGGGACACCCATACACCCATCACACACACACACCCACACATAACACACACAAGACATGACCAGAAAAGTTCCGTGTTTAAAATGCAAATTCAAGTTACGAAACATCAGAAACACAAATTCAGAGAAGGTAAAACGGGAAAAGGAGCACAGAGGGTTTCACCTGTGTGTACTCATGGCCGCAGTACACCTTGGTGTTGCGCGGCAGCGAGGCCAGGCGGGAGAGAGATGCCCACATCTGCTCGGGGATGGGGAGAGATGGGGTGAGCTGTGGACTGGAGGCGAGGTACTTGAGGGAAGAGGGGGAGGGGGGAGGGGGGAGGGGGGAGGAGGGAGGGACGAGGGAACGATTGGGGAGGGAAGCAGGTGTGGGCACGAGGACCATACGGCATGCAGCACATGGCAGCGCGGATGGCACCTGGGAGGGCGTGCCTTCAAAGAGGCGGCCGCAGCCGAGGGAGAAGAGCGTGTCGCCCGTGAATAGCGCTGCCAGGGCGGGGAAGTAGAGCGCGCAGTGGCCTGGTGGGAGGGGGAGAGAGAGGAGGGTGGGGTTGAGCCCATGGATGAGAGGAAGATTAGCAGAATGGAGATGGAGGAAGGAGATTAGTAAGAGGACGAGGGGAGTGGAAGGAGTGTGAAAATCAAGCGTATAATTCGATGCGTAATACTTATGCAGGCATTGACTGTGGTGAGGAGCACTCACTCACTGACATACACTCACTCACTCCCGGGTTCCCTGCAGTGCCTCTCACGGCTGAGCATCCCCCCTACCCTCTCCCCCTCCCCAGGTGGCACGGTTGTACCTCTGGTGTGACCGGGGGTGTGCAGCACGTGCATTTCTAGCCCCTCAAACTGCCACGTGTCACCATCTGACAGCGCCACGTCAATGCCTGGAATGCGATCCCGGTCAGCAGCAGGGCCAACCACCTGCGGCAGGGAAGGGCACGCAGGGGTCGTGGTGAAAAGCAACGGGTGAGGAATGATGGGGTGAGAAATGATGGGGAGGGGAGCAACGAGTGTGTGGTGATGTGATGTGCGAGGGAGCACAATCGGACGCAGACGGCCACAAGGGCCCACCTACCGTGGCGCCGTATTTGTCCTTTAGCGTCAGATTGCCGCCCGTATGGTCCCAGTGGTGGTGCGTGCACAGCACAGCCGCCAGCTTGCCGCCCGCCCCCCCTTCCGCCAGTCGCGCCTCCACGGGCGCGGCTTCTGCGGGGTCGACGACGAGCGCGGCGCCGGTGGCGGCATTGCGGAGGAGGTAGGCGTAGTTGTCCGAGAGGCACGGCACCAGCTCCACCTGCCACGCGCTGCTCTCGCCTCCCCGCGCGGCCCCCGCGCCCGCCTCCCCGGATGCATGCGCGTCCGCACGACCTGCGCAACGCAGCCCCCTGGCTCCCCTGCTCTGTTTCTGCGCGTCGCGGAGATTGGTCCGTGCTGGCGTGGCGGTGGCGAGTGGGAATTGCTGGGCAGGAGAGGAGATGGCGTAGGTGGCGCGGTGGGTGAGCGACGAGGAAAGCCGGCTCGCCAGAGGCCGTAGCGACGATTCGCGAGGAACTGATTTCGACGAGGATTGGCTTCGGCGGTCCGTGCGGCTTCGCGTAAAAACGGTTGCGCTGGTTGCCCACAGGTCCGCGCCTCTGGCTGTAGGGACGGGCGCAGGGATGTGCGCAGCCATGGGCGCGGGAATGACTGGGGAAAAGGCGCGCGGAAGGATGAGCAAGGCACACGGCCGGAAGGCAGAAACGAAGGGCGCTGTGATTGCGGAGCGAAGCGGCATTGTATCGCGGAAAGGCGAGTTGAGATTGTGCGCTTGAGGAAGGGGGTGGGAGTGGAGTGAAGTGACAAGCAGATAGGGCGAATCCGCGGCTGCACCCATACGCATTTAGAGAGGCTCAATCTTTGCACAGGTAAGTGCAAACAATAAGTTCCTACTAAACATGCAACCCGCACTAATTACTTTTAGGGCTGAAATTCCGCATATACACTCTTACGACCACAAACAGCACCCCAAACATTTTATTGATGTATTCCTTGGTTGGAGCAACACGGACCTAATTTACAAAAAAAAAGGCCAAGCGCCTAAAGCTTGGTCAGAACAGCCTTCAGAGCATTCTTGAACGTGCCATTGCTGCAACCCCTCTCTGCAGCTTTACTCCTCCGCAGCGGCAGTGGAGGCAGCTGCAGACACCGATTGAGTGCCGAGCCTAGACTGAGTGCCGAGCTTCTGGGTGCCGGTGCGCTCCTTGCTGGTGCCGCCCGACGAGTAAGACGGCACCGAGAACCAGCTTGTGGGTGGCCCGTCGTACGAGTCGATCGCCAGCTGGCTCGCCGCCCATCCAGCCCGCCCCTCCACGCCGTCCCGCACGACCCACACGTTGCGGTAGCCTAGAGAGGCCAGCGACCGCGCCACCTGCTTTGAGATCTCATTGTCGCTGCAGGGACGAGACAGGTGACATTGGGGAGAGGGAAGGTTGGGGGCAGGGATGGGGGGTGTTGAGAAGCCAACAGAGAAGGGAAGGCTGAAGGGAGGTCAAGATCAGCAGAGGATAGGTGATAAGCTGATAAGTTGGGAGTTGAGTGTGGGAGGGAATCAGGGTTTGAACCCCAAAAGTACATAGCATAGGCGGAGGAAAGGACAGGGAAGGAGGCAGGGAGGGCACTGACTTGTCGATGACGATGAGTTTAGCGCGGCGGCCAATTCTCTTGAGCGACGCCACCTTGATGGCTGTGAGCTCCGCCTCCGTGTCCAAGGGGTTCTTCAGCTGGTCGCGCAGCTCCACTGGCACCTCCTCCACTCTGACAAGGGATGGGAAGGACAGGGGAGGAGAAAAGGATGTGTTGAGTGAATGTTGGTTTTGTTGTGTAGCGTTGCCTGTTTGTTTGAGCTGCGACCCAACATTCGTTCTTGTTTTCTAGTTTGCTATAAGGGGGTTAGGGTGCAGGCACTCTGTGTGAGGGGTGTATACTGGGGTCAAAGCAGTGCGGAGGGACTGAAGCTGTAGGGAGCAGAGAATAGAGTGAGGAAATGGTACAGTGCAGCTGCACGGCATGACACTCACGGGACGTAGATGATTTTGCGGGAGAGCCCACGGGGCAGAGAGGGCACGCCGGAGGAGAGCTTCTGGTCCTCTGAGCGCACGTCCACGAGCACGCTCTCCTCCCTCTCCAACACGTCCAACGCCTGCGCTGCCGTCAGCTCGCCTGCAAGGGAGGGGGAAGGAGGGGAAGGGGCAGGAGGGAGGGAGAAGATGGGGGGTTGGAATGTGGCGAAGGGGGGACAAGCGGGGTCGTTGGGTTGAATAAGGGGGACACGAGGGCGCACTGGTGGAAGTAGTAGTGTGAGTGGGAGAGAGTGATTTTGAGAGCAAATGAGATGGGGACGGGGAACGGCAGAGACAGCGACAGCAGCAGCAGAGGTGGCGGCGGCGGCGGCTGCAGCAGCAACAGTGATCGCACCTGCGTAGCCGCGGAAAGAGTAGGCGATGCCGCGGCCGATGGAGGGCAGCAGGAGGTACAGCCCGAAGAGCCCGCCCGCGGCGATGGAGAGCGCGGTGGGGTCGGCGGAGCTGATGAGGTCCACCGTGCTCGTCGCGTACGGCGTCACCGCCGTAATCGCGCGCCCCGTGCTGTCGGTCACGCCGTCCGCCACGCTCGCCGCCGTCTGCGCGCCGATAGCCGCACGGGAGGCGGTGGGGGGGCGGTTACGGGGGGAGGTAAGATGGGGGCCAGGATGAGTCGGGGAACGGTGAGACGGGTGGAGACATGGGAGGCAATCGCGACGGCGAGCCAGTGAAAAATGGGCTGGCGAAGATGGGGGCTTGCGCGGGACAGTATTGCGGTTGTTGATTTGCCCATACGACGGCAGCAGTGCGGCCACGTCAGGTGCTCATTCCCCACCGATGGCTGCGTGCTCAGTGTCTCTCGTTATCTCTCCCTTTCAAGATGCTGGGTCCTGTGTTCATTCCATGCTTCGTATTCTCAGTCGCCCTCTTTCCCGCACTCCCCTATAGGTTGGCCGTGCGGCTCTATTACAGCCTTAACAGTTTTAGCAATACGATCAAGGCTGTCCACGCATGCTTGACTCGTGCAGCGCTGGTTCGTCACGCGGCTGGCGCGAGTCAGAGGGCGTGCGTACCTCAGCACCGTGCATTGGCGGTCCTAATTCTACCTCAGCGGCTGTGAACGTACCCTGGCGGCCTCGACGACGGGCGCGACGTCGACGCCCGAGTCCTGCAGCGCCTTGGACGCCTTCTCCGCCAGGTCCGACGCCACCGGTGCCGCCGCCTTTAACGCCTCCTGCGCTCCCTCGATCACCACCGGCGCTGCCGCCTCCACCAGCGGCTTGGTGACGCGGACCACCTGCTCTGCCACGTCGATGCTCGTGCTGTACACCTTGGTTGCCAGGTCAGCAGTCTGCTTAGCCAGTTCTTCCACCTGGCCGATTTGAAGGAAGAGAGCGAGGAACCGAGGAAACGGGAGTCAGGGCGCGAAGGAAAGATAAAAAAAATAAAGCCTTTACTAATCATTTTCAGACAGACAATTGATAGATTGTTACGAAATCGGAGACACAATGCCTGAGAAATTAAGGACGCGGTACATGCCTGGGCGAGTGTTTCTCGGACTTGGTCCGCGTCCACGGCCAACGCGGCATTTGCGGCCGTCAGTTGCGCCGTCAGAGCCACGGCCGCCGCCGCCACGCCAACCCTCTCCGCGTCCTTGTACGCGCGCACGCTCACTCCCCTCCGCACGCCACATGGCTGCACCGCGACGCTCTTGCGCAACGACGCGCAATCCGCGGACTGGCTTCTAAGACCGGCAGCGCACGGCGACGGCTGCAGGTTCACCTTTGCGAGGCACGATGCGCTGGCCATGATTAATCCGTAATGCAGCGAGGGGATCGGCTCGTGGACTGACTGGCAATTCAGCAATGCGATGCTGATGGCACACAGCAGTGACAGGAGCAAATGCTTTTGTGGAGGGAGGAGGTTGAAACGAAATGCCTCGAGATGGCGGGTTGGGGCGGAGGGCGGGTTTGGCCTGAAAAGCTGGCTGCATGCATTCTGGTTCCCGTGCGTGCGCCCCTGCCGAAAACCCGCCCGTAGTTGGTGGGGGCTGGACAGGGGGGGAAATGGGGCCTTGAGAAATGTTTCTGAATGGATTTGTGGCGGGAGATGATTCGCATGGCGGAAAAGGATTGGCCGTGCTGTGCTGGACCAATGGGGCACGACGAGAGGAGAAAGTTCCGAGGTCCAGTAGCTGAGGGACGGGAGGGGGATGGATGGTCAGACACGTGTCTAAAGTTCTTCAGACAAGGCATCTGGAAACAGAGGCCCCGTTATGAGTCTTCAAAATGAACTCATTTGTTCTGTTCTTACGATGTCTGCTATGCTGGCTGGCTGCTTTCTAACCAGGAAGAGGCTCCTACTTCAGGTAATCAGTTCCATCATGCTTCTAGCATTCAATTATATCACCATCAGTTCACACATGATGGCATGCATTACCTAAAACTATACATATTCCAATTCATCCTTCTTATAGACCTTCAAACAGGTGAAGGTGGTCATCAAACGTCTCTCCCCTGCGAATCTTCTGGATCTTACCCTCCTCAGTAACCTGTGTAACACACCAACAAAAAAGCACTACCGTAGGTTATTCTGAAATGCACCACGGCAAGCCAAGCAGGAGTGGGCAACAGATGCTTGTATCAGAAAACAAGCAAGCCAAGCAACTGGGTTGCTCACCCAGTATTCAGGAGGGCGCATCTTGAGATTGTATGTGGAAGCCATGGCCATGCAGTACGCTCCAGCATCGTGCACCACAAGAGCATCCCCCTGCAACGAGAGCAGCAGCACGTGAGGCACAATGATGCAGACTATAAAGAGAGCGTATACGGTAAGCAACGTATGCAGCACCCAGACCAGGTCCCAGACTACTACGTCACCAACCATGTTTTGTGCTGGGATGGGAATTCACCCATGGCTCCCCCCTGTCACCCACAGTGGCTGGCAGTAGAACTGACCTCAGCAGGTGTGGGCAGAGAGCGGGCCTTGCCGAGGAAGTCAGCGGACTCGCACACGGGCCCCACCACGTCAAAGCTTCGCTCCTCCGCCCCCTCCGGCGTCGGCGCCACCAGCTCTATGTGCTGCTCCCAGGGGGATTGGGGGAGGGCAAGAGGCAGGAGTTTAGGAGAGGCAGGCATGGAGCAAGCCGGAAGACAGGTAAAGGGAAATCGTGAGGATTGGAGGGAAGGTGTCAGGGTGGCGAGCTTGAGAGGATTAGAATCCCTGTTTCCCGGCTCACTTGGTAGGCGTCGTAGAGGGCGGGGCGGATGAGCTCAGACATGGAGCCGTTGACGACGATGAAGTCCTTGCTGCCGTTGCTCTTCACCCCGATCACCCGACACACAAACGCCGCCGTGTTGCCGATCAGCGACCGCCCCGGCTCAATGATTAGCGTCAGCCCGCGGTCCGTCACTATCTCCCTCACCTGGTGTGGCGGTGCGGCATGTGGGCCATGGGAGTGGCAGAAGGGAAGGTGCACAACGGCTGATGATAAGTGCCAACGCATCACGCGGTGAAAAACGGAGGACTGACATCGCAAGTGTGGCCCCAAACCCAGCGAACCCAATGAGCAATATGCGCAGGGGTGCAGTGAGAGGGAGTACACTGGATCAACATTTGAGAATCCTCAAAATGCGAACCTAACTCCTGAGCGTGTAAGAGAGGGAGGGCGGGCGGCTCACAGTGTCAATGAGGTCGGTGGGCGAGGGCAGCACGGCATTGGAGCGCGAGTAGTCGATGCCGAGTCCACCCCCGATGTTGAGGTACTGCACGGGGAAGCCCTGCGCGCGGATCTCGTCCAGATACCCCACCATGATGCGCGCCGCATCGCGGAACACGTTCACCTGCCACGCACATGGTGGGTGGGGGAAAGGGGGAAAAAGGGGGGTAGAGGTGGAAAGGGCAGCAGAAGAGGTGAGTATACATGGTGGTGGCGAGGCATGTGGAGGCCAGGCAACGAGCCGCATTGACAGACACGCACAGAGCAGCAGCTGTACTGTTCACAGTGCTGTTGTTTAAGACACACCGTGTTGCAAACAAGTTAGGACTGTGCTCAACGTTCGTGCTGCATACTACGAGCTTGCATTTCCGCCACCCAACAGCCCATTGAGCTGTGTCCGCTGTCCCTTGCTACCCCACCGGCGTACCTTGGTGATGGTGGACCCCAGGTGGCAGTGCGCACCTTGGTGATGGTGGACCCCAGGTGGCAGTGCGCGCCGACGAGGCGCAGCTTGCCCTCGCGCGCGCGGATCTGGTCGAGGAACCACCGCAGGCGCTCGTTGCGGATGCCGAACTTGCTGCTCTTGTTGCCCGTCGCCACGTACGCGTGCACCTGCGCGCACGACACCAACGCAGAGGAAGGGGGAGAAACGGGCAGGAGGGCGGAGGGGATAGTGAGTTAAGAGGAGTGGAGGAGAATGGAGGTGTGAACGGGTTAGTGTGAGGTCACCAGTATGTGCTTCAACTCTCGAAGTGAGGCGGATGTCAACGACGCGTGCGTCTGAGACGTTCCTCGTATCACTCTCCACCCCCTTTCTCCCGCCCCTCAATCATCCCTTCCCCCTCACCCCATCCTCCCCCCGCCACGCACCTGCGGGTCGACGTCGGGGTTGATGCGGAGCAGCACGTTGACGACCTTGCCGGTGGCCTCGGCGGCGGCGGTGACATGTTCGAGGTCGAACTCGCTGTCGATGTTGATCAGGCACCCGTGCTCCGCGGCCAGCTCCAGCTCGTGCTGCTGCTTGCCGTTGCCGTTCAGCACGCACCTGCCGCGCCACGCGCGCACGCAAGGTGGGGGAGAGAAGGGGAGTGGGGGTTGTGGGTGGGTGAGTGGGGAGACAGCACACGTGGGAGAGTGGGTGGGTGGGGGAGCAGAGCGCGCCCGCGCGCCTTCCGCCGGCCCTTTCGGTACGCTCGTATGTAGTTCTATCTCCTTGTAAGTTCAGCCTTGGACAGTGTGTGCTGGGCTGCAACTATGCCGGCTAGGCTAACCAATGAGGTTCCAGCCGCTCACGGGGACGGGTGACGGGGAGGGGAGGGCTCACGCCGGGAGGGGTAGCGGGGAGGGGGTGACTCACCGGGAAGGGTCGAAGCCGGCGAGGAGCGCGAGGCGGAGCTCGTTGCCGCTGACGAGCACGGCGCCGCTGCCCGCGCCGCACAGCGTCTGCAGCACCTTGAGGTTGTTGTTCGACTTCACCGCGTACCCGATAATAGACCCCGGCAGGCCCTTAAGCGCGTCCACATACGCGTTATAGTTGCGGAGGATCTGCGGACGGCTGTAGAGGTAGAAGGGACGGAAGTTGTCCTCTTGCTGCCAGATCTGCTCTGCCACGTCAGCGACACGCATATCTTCGACGTAAAGGTAGCCGTTTTCCGTCTGCAGGTGCGCGCGGGGAGCGCGACACGGCCGGGCGACACAAAAGGCGAGTGAGAAAGGGACGAGCGAGACATAAGCAGGGCGGCGACAATGAGAAGGCGATACAGAAGGAGAGATACACGACAAGCACGCACGACTGTGAGTCTGTATGACGACATCATATATCGCGGAAAGTCACTGACGCGACGAGGCCGCGCGAGCTAGGGTAACTTCCAGATTCTAGACAATGCCTCTTGCTTCGCAAGAACCGATCGAACTCTGTAGTCTTCGCATTCCGACGTAACCCTAAATCTGACGCTTTATCACCCGAGTCATCGACTGAACGTCACCAGCCCTCCCCGGTTCCTTACGTGGAATGCATTTGGCGAGTTGCTCACTGCCGCGGGCTCGCTCGCCACGGCGGACGGCACGATCCGGCTCGCCCTCGGGTTCTCGGGCTTGCCGAAGTCCGCATTATTCGAAATGGACGCGCGCGGAGCGGAGACGGCAGACGCCAGCGAATGCTTCTGGAGCGAAGTAACGCGAGCAGTCTGCTGGCTAACAGAGGACTTGCTCGAGAGGCTCTCGACGAAGCTGTTAGCAACAGAGCCTCGCAAGAAGCTCGAGACTGGGCTTGAAATGGCCGACATGGTGACTAGGTGGAAACACGATCACCAAATGGTTAGTATTGAGATGTGAGAATGAGAAAAAGGACGAGGGAGGTCAAGGATATCCTGCTGGGAGAAAGGCAGGGATCGGATCAGAATTGGTAGCGCGAGAAAAGCATGAAGAGTTGAGAGCGACACTGGGGCAGCTGAGGTGGCACCAAGAAACCGACATGATTGGATGTTGCCAGCGTGTGCTGCATTGACGAATCGTGGTGAGTGACGAATCTGCCTTCAGCCCGCACATGCAGGAGGGAGCAGTAGGCGAGAAGGCGGCACCAATGGATGTATCGTGTGCGCCTGTCGCTGTGTTTGATAGGCCTTCTCGTCTCACGTGGCACGCTGCACTTTTGCTGATGCGGATGTGATTGAGCCAGGCCCATCCTTGGTACTGGCAGTCCAGGGTTATTATAATTCGCCTCAGCAAACGTGCATAATCAAATATTCTAATATGCACGCCAAATAACCATTTATTCATACAACTACTCTCTATTCACACCTGCTTCTCTAACTAAAGAAATTTTTATTTCCCATTTTAGTATCAACATTATGGGTGCCAATGCTCCCACTTTTGGCGAGTGTAATGGCAACTGGTGCTATGGGAGCATCAGTCTGCTGCGAGCACAACAACGCAAACCATAACGTGCAATCACGCGTATTAAGAAAAGCGGTGCCGCTAACGGAGACCTTCTCAGTCATCCCCTGTGTAGAGTTTTGAGGGGTTGAACGGTTTGGCGGATTCCACGTCGTACTGCGTGTCGCGCTTGACCCAGTGCGCGTACTTCTGCTGAAGCTGCTCTGCCATTCTCTGCGTCTTATCTCCCACCACTCTGCCCGAATACTCCACACCACCTGCCATGGCTGGCGGCGTCGGCTCCGCCGGCTTCGCCGGAATCCACCGCCGGGGGGCTTCACTAGGTCTTTCCGGCATTCGAGGAGCAGCACGAGCCTCCATTCTCGGCCGCCGAGGCTCTTCATATCTGCGGGTTGAGGCTCTAACGGGGGAAATCGATTCGTAGGCATCGCTATAGTCAGCTGCGCCACAGCACTGCACGATGGCGGCGAGCAGCAGCACGACGAGCTGCGTGACGAAGAGCACGAGGTAGATGGCGCCCTCCGTGCTCACCAGCTGCCGCGCCTTGCCGCTCTCTACCGCCGGGCTCAGGTTCCCCACGATTACGTCGAGGCGCAGGAAGATGACCAGGAACGACGCGAGGAAGCCCGCGAGGGAGACCAAAAGGCAGAACACGTGGCAGTCGAAGAAGAATCCTGGCCGCGCAGCTGAAACAACTCCTAGCAGACCGGATGCGACTGTAAGCGCGCCGAGCAGGATGAAGCCCCAGCCAGGAGGAAAGAGCGGCACGGGGCGGATTATGAGCATTATTACTATTGACGCGACGCCTCCAGCCAGCACGATGAGATTCAGGAAGCGCAGGAAATGAGTCGCCATGTCCACCATTGTCGCCTGAACTGAACCGCGGTGCCTCGCCATCGTTGCCTTCGGCCTAGGAAATTTATGTTATGAGCTTCGCAAGGGTATGCGCTTGGCACCTCTATTCTGTTTCTGTTCTGCGGTAAAAAGGAATGGAGGAGAATAGTCGAATTCGAATGTGGGAAGATGCCTAAAGAGCACAAGGAGAACTACATGCCAGCTCCAGTCTAGTCCTATCCTGGGTGGATTGCTTGGTTGTGCTCTTCTCACCTGCGCGTGCAAAAGTACTGCGGCTTCATTTGGGGCGAGATTGCCAAAATGCAGCGGAGGAGCAGCCAGGTGTTCAAGGAGCTGGTTGCCAAACAGCAGACGGAGGTGTCCCAGCGAGTCTGGCTACCCTAGGCTCAGGGTCTTGGCAGCAAAACCAAACCACGTCGCACCTGTCGTGAAAGCAGAACCAAGCCAAAAAAAAACTAGCGGTGATTGGTGGCGACTCAAACGTGTAACCCTTGCTGACTCGCGATATCCTCGCATGACCAGCCAGGACTGGTGACCCTGGGATGTAATGACGACGGGCTGGAGCCGCGAATAATGGCGGCGTCGCGCCTTTAGGCCATGTGGTTTTGGCGAAGCCCAGCCCTTGCTCCTCCTGTATCGAAAGCAGGAAGTAATAAGTGAAAAGAGGACAGCAAGCTTGGAATAGCAAATATCACAAAACTCCTCATCTATGTACCTTATTTAAATGCTGAATAGAGTTGTCATGCTGAATTGACTCAATAAACCACTAATACAATAAATTTTTGTATGCATAGCCGAAGTGCATGAAATAAAAACATAACTACCGATATTACCGTACTACTCGATACGAATTAACATGTATGATGGTATCGCTCAATAGAAAGCCAGCACCTAATGCTGACAAGGTTGTAAAGAGAGCTACAGCGGCGTCCTTAGCCATAATTGAAAAACAGCATGCGATCAGCTGAAATTCAGTGATATGGTAAAGTACATTGCATGAATAAGGGACCTCACACTAGATGGCATGATGGAGAAAAGATCGGGCAAGGCTGTGGCGTTGCCATGAGAAATAATGAGCTTCAACTCTTTGTCCGCATCCTACAGCTGAGGGATATCATATCACTCATACGTTCCTTGCTCTGATGCTTTCAATGCAAATAATATTGACGAGTGAGTACATTCTTCCCAACTACTGGAGGACACATCAGGAATTGCCTACGCTTATGATATGGACACATTCTCGAAACAGATCTTATTATTATGGGTACAATTACAGAGATGTCCGCATTGCGTCCAGGGGATTGAAATGAAATAAAAAACCGTTAGAAGGAATGAGATAACAACTCTTGCTCATTAGACATCCAATCCAACTCCTGAATGCCAGCCCATCTGAAAACTTCACGCCCACCATTCTTACTACTGTTACCCGCACGCATGCGAACAATGGCTGGTCAGATTTGAGGAGGGCTCATGTGGGGGAGGGTGGACTGCGGCAGAGAGACTGCAATGTGCGGCAGGGTGATCTGCCCGCCTGCTGCCTGCGCTGCTGCCTCGCCCTCCAGCAGCTGCACCACCTGTGAGAGCCACGGGGATGCAGAGATGGCGGAACATGGGAGTCTAAAGTAAATCAACACGGCAGGGGAACCTTGGGTCAGAGCATGCAGCATGGTGGGAGAGAGGGTACAGTGCAGTGGCACAGTGCAGCAAGGAGTCACGACATGTATGTGGGTGGTGCTGCTGGCAGAAGGGCGGCACTCACGTGGGACATGGCGGGGCGGTCATCGGGGTGGTGGTGCAGGCAGAGGAAGATGATGTGCACGAGGCCCCTCAGCTCGCCCTCGTTGTAGTCCCCAAACAGCAGCGGGTCCACCAGCGCTCCCAGCTCGCCCTTCGCCACCACCTCCTCCGCCTGCAGGTGGGTGGGGCGAGGAGCACCGGGGAGAAGGGGGGCAGTGGGGAAGAGCGAGGGACGCATACTCTCAGTCACCTTCTAAGAAGAATGCAGCGCAAAGACTGAAGCAGGAGCGGTGTGAGTGCACATGTGTAAATGAACATGTGTGTTTGTGCACATACGTACCCAGGTGACAAGCTTGGAGTCGCCGAGGGGAGAACGGCCGGTGACGAGTTCGAGGAGCAGCACACCGAAGGCATACACGTCCACCTTCTCACTCACCGCTGCCCCCGCCAGGTACTCCGGTGCCACGTACCCCCACGTGCCCTGCACCTGCTGGGTGCCAAGCGGTGGAAGGTAAGGGAGTGAGGTGGTCAGAGCTGCTCCACACATAGATTAGGCAGGCGCAAAGTTGTGCGGCAGGTTGCGGAGGGGTGCAGGCGTAGGGTGTGGGAGTGGCGCATCACAGCAAGAATCAACGTGCACGGCCAGCGCACAGTCAACGTGCACGGCCAGCGCACAGTCAACGTGCACGGCCAGCGCACAGTCAACGTGCACGGCCAGCGCACAGTCAACGTGCACGGCCAGCGCACAGTCAACGTGCACGGCCAGCGCACAGTCAACGTGCACGGCCAGCGCACAGTCAACGTGCAGGCATGGGCTCTCTCTCCCTGGCCACGCACCCGGGTGGCAACGTCGCGCTCATGGTCGTGCAGCATCTTGGCGAGGCCGAAGTCAGCGATGCGCGCCTCCATGTTGGCGTCCAGCAGCACGTTGCTGGGCTTGATGTCGCGGTGCACTATGCGCGGCACACACCCTTCGTGCAGGTACGCCAGCCCGCGCGCCACGCCCAGTGCGATGCGCACCCGCGCTGACCACGGCAGCCTCGCCTCCTGCCCGCCTGGGGTAGGGGCATGGGGGCGAAATAGTGGGAAGAACAAGGGGGGTGGGAAAAGCAAGGACGGGCAGGGAAGGGCGGATATCAGAGCGTGATGAGGGAAGGACGGGTGTGCTTAACGAATAATCGTTACCATAGCATGAAACAGGGAGGTAGGGAGGCAGGCAGGCAGGCAGGCAGGAAGTCAGGCAGGCAGGCATCTCACCATGAAGGTGCTGTGCAAGGCTCCCCCTGGGCATGTACTCGTACACGAGCATGCGGTGCTGGCCCTCGCTGCAGAACCCCACCAGCCGCACGAGATGCCGGTGCCTCACAAGGCTCAGCAGGTCCACCTCCGTCTCGTACTCCCTCTCGCCCTGCCCACCCGCGCCCGCATCGCCCTCCTCCCAGTGCAGCACCTTGATGGCCACCGCCTCGCCCTCCTCGCCGTCGTCTAGTGCCGGCAGCACGCCGTGGTACACGTGGCCGAAGCCCCCCCGCCCCAGCAGCGCCGTGGGGTGGAAGCCGTTGGTGGCGGCGATCAGCTCGTCCAAGCAGAACAGCAGCGACCCCTCCAGCCGCGCTGCTGCCGCCTTCTTTGCCTTCTCCGAAAACACTGCAGGAGGTGGGAGGGAGGAGAGGGGGACGATGTGAGAGAATGGAAGAGTGAGTGTGTGCCATGGGACGGAGAGAAGATCAGGAGTCAGGAGAGAGCGGGAGAGAAGGAGGAGCGAGCACGAGTGAGAGGTTAAGGTTGATGGGTCACCTTTGGACTTGCCGCCAGAGTCTGCAGAGGTCCACTTGCCGCTGGCGCCCTTCTTGCCGCCCACCCCCGAGTCAGGCAGCCAGAGGCTGACAGCATCGCTGGGGTCGCCCTTGCCCTTCAGCCCCTGCTCCTCCTCCTTCCTCCGCTCTCCATCTGCGCGCCGAATGTGCACCAGCACCAGCGCTGCCAGCACCAGCGCCGCCACACCTGCCACTGCCGCTGTTGCTATGCCCGCCACTGCTGCAGGGGAAAGGCTGGATGAAGGCTGCTGCTGCTGCTGCTGCGAGTCATTTGACGAGTCTCCTGAGGTGGTAGAGTCAACCGCGACGGGGGCGCGGGCCGGGCAGGGTGGGTACCCCGGGTGGTTGCAGAAACCAGCGTTGCCGTCCAGACTGGCAAGGGGGGAGGGGGGGGAGAGGGGAGGGAGAGAAGGCAGGTGAGGCGACAGGAGAGTGGCACCTATGGGGAGCAGCAGCAGTGGAGGGAGGGAGGCATGTCGGGCAGGAAGAATATGGCAGCAAGGGAAGGTGAGGAACGGGATGGGATGGGAGAGGGCGGTGAGGATGGAGGCAGAGTCAGGCAGGTGGTGGTACACATGCTCAATTGAGACATGAAGGTTCGATGGAAAGCGGTGGATAGGAGTGGAGAGGGCACTTACAGAAGAGTGGACTGTGAGAGCATGAGCTGCTGGGGAATGTCTCCCTCCAGCTTGTTGTGACTCACGTCCCTGCACTCGTGAGAGGGGCGATAGGTAGTGGGTTCAGGTCATGGGCGATGCAGGGAGGGAGGTGAGTCGAGGGCGTGAGGAGGGTGGGAAAATGGCATGGGTGTCAGGGAGCAGCACGAGAGACGAGGCAAGGAAGGGGAGGGGAGACTGACAGGATGCGGTGGCAGTGAGTGGATGCGGTGGCAGTGGGAGGATGACGCGGCAGTGAGAGAATGACGTGGCAGTGACAGGATGACGTGGCAGTGACAGGATGACGTGGCAGTGAGAGGATGACGTGGCAGTGAGAGGATGACGTGGCAGTGAGAGGATGAGGTGGCAGTAAGAGGACGAGGTGACGGTGAGAGTATGAGGAGCAATTGAAAGAGGGGCAGGAGGGGGAGGCGGCACTGACAGTACGAAATGTTTGACGTTGCGCAGCGAGTACTCGCCGATGCTCCCCGGCAGGTACCCCGTCAGCCCGTTGCTCGACAGGTTGCTGCCGCCCCGCATGCATGGGGAGTGGGAGTTAAGAAGAGTTGATTGGAATGCTTGAGATGATAAATGGAAGGTAGAAAAGGGGTGCAGGCATGGTGTATGCGTGGTGCATGGAGCTTGGTGCAAGGTACATGGGCTAGCAGGTGCAAGCAGAGGTGAGCGGTGGGCGAGATGGGGCTCACAGCAAGGGCGAGAGCTCAACGAAGGAGCACTCCTTGTAGATCTGCGGGATCTCCCCCGTCAGGCCGTTACTTGAGAGGTCGCTGCACACACCGAGCGGACAGAGGCAGACCAGGTAGGTGAGGGAGGAGAGGGGGAGCGTGATGGGGGGGAGGAAAATCACGGTTTTAGCGTGGGATTTGCATGGCATGAAGGAACAACATGTGAAGGATAGCAGCGGTGGTAGCGAGAGGTGAGGGCGTTACATGTAGTAGAGAGAGGGCGTGGTCTCTATGGACTGGGGGATGGACCCCGTCAGCTTGTTGCTTTGTAGGTCGCTGTGGTGGCGGGGATGGGCGCAGGGAGGGAGGAGAGAAGGGAATGAGGAGGAGGAAGAGAGGATGACTGCGCCAACAATGCAAGCAGCTGAAGCTGAAACCGAATACTAGCCATTGCTCACATCCGTACTGCTAAACATCCATGCATCCTGTCTATGCCCGTGCCCTGGCCTCACAGGTGCTGCAGCAACGTGGCGGTGGTGAAGTTGTCTGGAAGGGCCCCCTCCAGCTCATTGCCGAACAGAATGCTGCCATTGAAAGGGGGAGGAGAGGGGGAGGATGGAGGTGAGGGAGAGGGGAGGGGGGGGAAAGAGTGGCGTCATATTGGAAACCATCGGAGACACGTTACGCTGTAACGAGGACAAGGACAGAAAGTGCAAAACGTTATGGAGACAGAAAGTGCAAAACGTTATGGAGACAGAAAGTGCAAAACGTTATGGAGGAGGAGGTGGAGGAGGAGGAGGAAGAGGAGGGGGAGTGGGAGGAGGAGGAGGAGGAGGGGGAGGGGAGGTGGAGGAGGAGGAGGAGTGGGAGGAGGGGGAGGAGGAGGAGGAGGAGGAGAAGGAGGGGGAGGAGGAGGAGGAGGGGGAGGGGGAGGGGGAGGAGGAGGGGGAGGGGGAGGAGGAGGAGCAAGGCGCTCACAGGTTGACGAGGGCAGGCGAGGCGACGAGCGCCGGCGGGATGGAGCCTGAGAGCGAGTTGGTGGAGAGGTCTCTGGTGGGCACGTGGGGTACGGTGAGGGCAGACACCGGGGGGAGAGGGGAGGAGAGGAGAGAGGAGATGAGGAGGGGTGTGCATAAGAGCGACCGAGCACAGAAAGCAGGTGGGCATCAGGATCCAGTGACAATGGTGGCTCTCACAAGAGAGAACAAGGGCTCTCATGCGAAAAAAAAAGGGCCATGTGACTCGCATGTGGGAGAAGGGCCATGTGACTCACATGTGGGAGAAGGGCCATGTGACTCACATGTGGGAGAAGGGCCATGTGACTCACATGTGGGAGAAGGGCCATGTGACTCACATGTGGGAGAAGGGCCATGTGACTCACATGTGGGAGAAGGGCCATGTGACTCACATGTGGGAGAAGGGCCATGTGACTCACATGTGGGAGAAGGGCCATGTGACTCACATGTGGGAGAAGGGCCATGTGACTCACATGTGGGAGAAGGGCCATGTGACTCACATGTGGGAGAAGGGCCATGTGACTCACATGTGGGAGAAGGGCCATGTGACTCACATGTGGGAGAAGGGCCATGTGACTCACATGTGGGAGAAGGGCCATGTGACTCACATGTGGGAGAAGGGCCATGTGACTCACATGTGGGAGAAGGGCCATGTGACTCACATGTGGGAGAAGGGCCATGTGACTCACATGTGGGAGAAGGGCCATGTGACTCACATGTGGGAGAAGGGCCATGTGACTCACATGTGGGAGAAGGGCCATGTGACTCACATGTGGGAGAAGGGCCATGTGACTCACATGTGGGAGAAGGGCCATGTGACTCACATGTGGGAGAAGGGCCATGTGACTCACATGTGGGAGAAGGGCCATGTGACTCACATGTGGGAGAAGGGCCATGTGACTCACATGTGGGAGAAGGGGTGAGAAGCGAGCTCCTGTGGGATCTGCCCCGTGAGGCTGTTCATTGACAGGTCACTGCACGGCACGCGGGGGTTGACATTGGGGGGGTTGGTGGAGTTGGGTAGTTGTTGCAGGGAAAGGCGAGAGTTGGCACTTCATGTCGATCCTTCAAAGCAGGAACCAGCGAAGGTGGAGATGCACACATTTGAGCCGAAACCACGCACACACCTCCAGGCACCCTGCATGAGCTACAGCCATTAACCCCCCTTCTCTAATGCCCCCCCCTAGAGCTCCCGTCATAGCCCTCTCCCACTCACATGCGCAGCAGCGAGGGCATGAGCGGCAGGTGCAGGTCACTGAGGCGGCCTGACAGGCCCACGCGCTGCAGCGTGCTGCATGGGGGAGACACAGGATGGAGGGAGGAGAAGAGGAGCGTCAGCGACATGGAGTTCCCAACACACAGGAAAAGCTCAGTTCACAGGCTCGGCAGTATAGCTCACAGGCTCGGCAGTATAGCTCACAGGCTCGGCAGTATGGCTCACAGGTTCGGCAGCACAGATCACAGGCTCGGCAGCACAGCTCACAGGCTCGGCAGCACAGCTCACAGGCTTGGCAGTACAGCTCACAGGCTTGGCAGTACAGCTCACAGGGTGGGCATAAGAGCAGAGAGGTGGGACGGGGAGCTCACAGGTCCTGCAGGCGCGTCATGTTGGCGAGGGCGAGCTGGCTGGCGCGGTAGTTGAGCGCCGTTGACATGAGCGCCCTGGGGGCAGCGGGGAGAGAAAAGAAGGGGAAACAATGTTTTGAGGAATGTGGGGCACATGAGAAGCATGATGGGGCACGGCATGAAGATGTGCAAAATTGGTTGGGCACGTGAGGTAGGTAGCAGGAAGGGGGGAGGTGGGAGGAAGAGGGGGGGAGAAGAGGAGGGGTAGGAAGGGTGGGAGGCTCACAGTTGTTTGAGCTGTGTGAGGCCGTTGATGATTGGCAGCAGTGCTGTGGCGTTGAAACTGACCTGCCCTAACACCCTGTTGATCATGGGGAACACACATTCACACACGCACACACACATGCATGGCTTTAAGACATGCACTGACTTGCAACAGATAAGGAAGGTTCGGGTGAACTCACAGCGACTCGAGGTTGGGGAGGCGCAGAACTGCAGGCGAGAGCGACCCCACGAGACCCGCACGCAGTGAGCTGCAGGGCGGAGAGGAACGGGGAGGTGTAGGGAGGGCGAACGGGGTGAGGATGGCTGATCCGCAGGTACTGACATTTGAGACATGGACGTGACAGGCTGGCATAGGTGCCAGGGTGGCACACATGGAGGTGCCAGGCTGGCATGCATGGAGGTGCCAGGCTGGCATGCATGGAGGTGCCAGGCTGGCATGCATGGATGTGCCAGGCTGGCATGCATGGAGGTGTCAGGCTGGCATGCATGGAGGTGCCAGGCTGGCATGCATGGAGGTGCCAGGCTGGCATGCATGGAGGTGCCAGGCTGGCATGCATGGAGGTGTCAGGCTGGCATGCATGGAGGTGCCAGGCTGGCATGCATGGAGGTGTCAGGCTGGCATGCATGGAGGTGCCAGGCTGGCATGCATGGAGGTGCCAGGGTGGCATACATGGAGGTGACAGTGGCGGCGCCTGAATCGGAGATGTTGCAGATGATCTCGGGCGTCCACCCCAGCGGGCCGCACGGGTCAAACTCGTCCGCCCAGTGCGGCAGCCACTCCACTGCGTTCGTTATGCCATCCCTCACCGCCCGCAGCACCTCCACTGATTCGCACGCAAACAGCGGGAGGGAAGGGGGGAGGGGAAGGAAGGGTTGAGGAGAGAGAGTGAGAGGGACATGAGTGTGAGTGTGAAGGAGATTATCTCCAGTGGAGACGACATGGTGGGACCAATGCCGCGGCGACAGCACATGAGACAGCCTCCGTGGGATGAAGAGGCGTTCGGGAAACCGCACACAAGGAGGAGGCACACACGGAGGTCACAGTAACACAGGAGAGGGGAGAAAGCGGGAGCAGAGCCTGTGAGGGCAAAGAGCAGCAGAGCGGCGGCACACGCTGTGACAGGCCACTCGGGGAGCGGCGCACCTTCGGCTGGGTCAGTGACGATGGGTGAGCTGCTCGCACCCCGCTGCACTTCAACCGCCGCGCATGGCGGCGGCAGCACGGCGAGTGCCACAGCCAGCACGAGCGACAAGAGATGGCGCAACCCCATGGCGCCATGGGCGCCTGCCTTGGTCCAAGTCATGACTTGCGTCGCTTCACAGACAGTTTCTGTCTCTTCGCAGCCTCGATAGCTTACTGCGATGGCGTTCACGACTGCTAGGGGCGATGACACGCACGATTAGCCACGTGATTTTGACAAACAAGTAGTTTCAGACGAGGAGTTTATTAAGATCAGTGCACGGGCAAGCAGACCAGTGGTCTGGCCAATGGCAGCGTGGCGCGCATGCAAGCAGGAGGGAGGGGGGAAACCCGTAGTAGGTCAATATGTGCTGGTGCGAAGGTAAGACCTTTCTTGCAGCTGTTACAGCCGTGGTTAGACAACCTCCATTCTGAAAAGAAGTTATTGGGGCAACTTGCGGCGTTACTACTACTAGTAGTACTAACAGACTCGGAGTATCTCGCGGCGCAACAGCCGCTGCGGAATGCCACCATGCTGCCTGCCAAGAGGGCTGAAAAGGAGTGCCAGCCGAACCGCGTTGCAGCCGGTGGATGTCAGATCAGGGGCGGAAGAGGGAAGGTGCAGGTAATTCCAACCGTCGTCTGCTTGGCGGTTGCGTTTAGCGACAAGTACCCCACACTAGCGAGAAACGCAACCGTCGCTGGTTTACGCGTTTCAAGATGCCGCAGCAAGCGAAAATTGCAAGCCAATTCTTAGCCCGGATACAGCGAAATTTGAAATAGACTGAGCAAAATTATATCCTGGCAGTTATACTCATCCATAATAATCTAAATTGACTGTTTACAATCTACTGTCATCATGTGATTGAGTTTCTGGTGGGGCAACACAAGGTGCATAGCGACCTTTTTTTATGAATGGAAATTCAACCCTGTATTATATGTAAAAAAATTGAATTTCTTAACCAAGCGGTATGATGCCTGGGTACTGCCCGGCTAATTTGGTGTAAGTTTCACAAAAGCACAGACTGAATAGAAAGCCCTCATTCCTTGACGAGGATACCTCGTCTAGTGTCTAATCACAGAGCACGGATTAGCAGCAGCGACTCTACAGCAAGCGAGTCATCATCAGCCAGCGATTGTGCCTCCACCACACTTGCCACGTGCGACGGTGCAGCCCCCGCAAAGGATGGGTTTGTCGGGAGAGTGGAGGGCGATCCTTTAGATGGAGGCGCTAAGGTGAGGAAGGTGTGGAGAGGCGATTGCGGGGCCCCGTTGCCGCAATTCACGCGCGCTGTCATCTCATGGGAAGGTCGGACGGCCGCAACCTGTTCCGGAAAGGACGAGGGAGAGGCGGAAGACGGAAAGCACTGGGCGCCGGCGGGAGCTGCGGCAGCGCCGCTGGTACCGCGAGCGGTGAGCTGGATAGCGGGTTTGCTGGTCACCGATTGGTTCCGCTCGAGAGGCCAGGGCTCCTTGGCGGGTTGCGATAAGCACCCCGACGACAACGGTAGAAGCGGGGGAAGCATGTGCGACACCTGCGGGCTGCCCGTTGTGCCGTCGTCGCTGCACGCGCTGAGCGACACGCGCGTCGTGGGCTGGCACGTCGCCGGCGTGCTTCCGGGCCACTCTGCGGAGCCGTGCGCTGGGGGGAACACCTGGGCTGACGACGGTGCATGCAGCGTGGAAGCGGGAGCGACGGCAGTGGGAGTTTGTGCGACGGCTGCTGCAGCACCTTTGTTGCCCGGGGGAGCCTGCGACGCCGCGACCAGCGATGAGGGTGGCGCCCAAGCTACTGGACTGCTGCTCGTCGTGGGCGATGCGACAGGGAGCTGCGACGGAGGGCTCGGGCAAATGGACGACCAGGTGGCGTAGTTTCCGGCTTGCGCCGCTGCAACCGTAGTGGGCTGAACGGACTGCTGCAGCACTTGCGCCACGCAGGGCGCTAGTAGCCCGAGTTTCGCTGCGGTGCTCCCAGGCGACGGCGTGAGCAGACGGCGCGGAATGCCGTCGACGACGATGTCGGGCGCCGTGTGCATGAGGCGGCCCAGCGCCGTGCCGTGCAGCGCCTGCATGCCACGCGCGAACGCCAACGGGTCGTAGCTCGCTCGCGGAGCCAGCAGGGGCGGCGGCGGAGTCGTGGAGAAGGACAGCGGTGCTGATTTGTGAGCGGGAGGTGATGACAGGAGTGCGCCGGGTGTAGGTTGCGATGCTAATAGAGAGCTCAGCGCGGACCCTCTCGCCGATGTGGATTCATGGTTCTGGCGTGTTGCTTCACAATCTGCCAGGGCCGTTGCCTTCGCGAAAGCTGAAGGAATGCCGCGAAGTTTCGCGGCACCTAGAGCTAGAGACGAGGTGAACGAGGAGATGGGAGAGGGAGTACGAGGAGCGAGCGCGGCGCTCCCTTGGCCGGCGCGTGGCACCGGTAGCTGAGGGGACGGCGTCACGAGGTGCTTCCGCGGGCGCTCCTGTCCGGCCAGCCCGTCATCGGGAGTGGACCGCTTCTTGCTGCATCCGCCCGCTCCTGGGCGTGGTAGAATGGCGCGAAGGCGCGTCCTACTATTACCTGCTATTACCTGCCCTGCGCATGCTGGAGAATTGCCTTGCGGAGGGCACGACGGGTCCATCGAAAGTGGCTGGGAAGGAAAAGACGGGGCCGCTGCGCTGACGATGTTCTGATGTAAGACAAGTGCTGCCATGACAAGGTTTCAAGTTTCCTGGCAGAATAGCTTCGAAATAAATACTAGATGGATGGATGATGGCGCCCGACTACGCGGAGTGGATGATCAGCTGGTACCTACAGAAAGAAGAGACGCAGAGTGGTGCCACGCGATGAGATGCAGCAGCTCTGTTCCACTCTGCGCAACGACTCGATTCTATTTTCAAAACTTTATTGGCGTTGTTTCATGCGCGCCTCATATTTTTGCTTTCACTGACTGCCGTTCGAATTCACCTGTCTGTGCCACATGTCTGTTCTGTTACCTGCGCTTGCCGCTGCCAGCTGAGACCTAGGAAAAATGAGAAGCATGGCACAATCTGTTGAGACGCGTCGCGTTACGGACCGAGCCGCTCGCTCTCCTGATCGTGCTTACCACCGTGGACACTGACGCTGCTGTCATTTCAAACGCATCGCTGAACTGACGGTGACAGCCACGCGAAACATTGCGACGATCTACGAGCCCTCAGCTTCGCGAGCGCACCAATCTACGATTGTCGCCCCCAACCAGGTCACGCCTGGTAGGATGGTCTTGCAGATGGTTCTGTCTCCAGCACAGCGCAGAGGGTCGTCGGCCTGTAAACGGAATCGTGCAGCTTGAACCAAACCTTTCGCAGCTGACCACATCCGACTGACACCAGCGCTTCGGTTAAAAATGGGTGTTTAGAGCGTGGAAGATCCCTGTGAACAAGGCATTGGTCGCGCAGTTGCGAAAGTAACACAGGTTGCGACTCTCGCCATTAAATGTCGTTAATAGAGTGACGAAAATTGCTAGAAGCACTCACATTTCAGAGCTCGTGCCCCCTTGTTGCCCCACGTTTTTGGGTCCACGAGGGGAAGACAAAGATTGGCGACGTAAGAAGAATCACGCGACAGGAAACCAGGTGTTGTCGTGGGTGATGTGGTGCAATCCAATTTGCTCCGAGTGATTGACGAACTCAGATTTCTTCGCTTGAGAGCGAACAAGGCCCCTTCCGAAACCTCTCTGATTTGCAATGTAGGGTTTCATGTGTTACCCGACGAAAGATGTCGCAAGCAGTTGACGAAGCCAGATGTTCGACCACATGAGCAACCAAACACATGTTCAAAGGGATCTTCCACGCCCTTATCAAGTGAAACGTTGGTAGCGAGGGACAACAAAAGCCTGGCAACGACCACTTTTACCAGCAGATACTGCTTTTCCTCCCATCAGTTGGCTGTGGATGTCTGGCATTCTTCAATGTTTTTTCACCCTTCAAAAAGAAACAACCCTCCTACCACAGCTGGCATTTAGTACCTGAACATCCAGATTCCATATTTTCACTTTGACCATAAATAACAATTGCTATGCATAAATAACAACTGCTACGATTTCTACGTTTTTTTTTTCTATGAAGCTACCGTATAATCATGTGTACATTCACATGGGAATGCCTTTTTCCTGTACGCTGTTTGCATCACCACCTCCAGCGTTTTCCTCGGCCACTTGATTCTCACCTTTCTCGTCACCTGCCGCTTCTGCAGCTCCGGCTTCTTTCTTCTCACCTTCTTCCTCCTCCTCCTCGCTGCCATGGCTCTCTGATGTCCTGCCTCCCCCTCCCAGCGACCTCAGCGCGCGATACACTTTGCCCCGTTTCGCACTCCCCTTGTCCTTATCCCTCGGCTCAAACACCCCGCGCCCCCCCTTGCCACTGCCACTCCTTTTGTCCGGGCTCGCCTGCTTGCCCCTGCCAGGCCCGTGCTCCGCCGACCCGTGCTCGCTGCCCGAGCCCTTTCCCACCGAGCCGTCCCCCCCGCGGGGATGCGTGCCGGAGCCGGCCTCATTGGAGGCCTGGGCGCGCAGGGAGCGCAGGAGGTTGCCGATGCGCTTGGTGCGGATGGCCTGGCGCATGACGTCGATGGGCAGCTTGAGGCGGCGCCGCAGCACCGAGCGGTACCACACCTGGATGGTGGTGGCTGCCCGCATGCGCCGGTTCAACGAGCACAGGCTGCCAGGGGGGAGACACACAAGGGCGAGGGAAGCGGGGTGGGGGAGACAACAAGACGGAGTGAGGCTAAGAAGGGAGGAGAAAATGCTAGGCATGGAGGATGGGAAAGAAGCACAGAGTGTGTGCGTGCGTGTGTGTGTGTGGGGTGGGGGAAGGGGGAGAGAGGGGGAGGGAGCGGGGCTCGGGCGTACTTGAGGGCGTGCTGCACTTGGTCGGACTGCATGACGGTGAAGAACTGAGTGCACACGAAGTCAATGTCGGCCGCCTCCAGTGAGAAGCCCTCCACGGGGCCGATGCAGCAGAAGGTGCGCTCCGACTTGGGCAGCATTTCCGGCATCACCGCCGACCCCACCTTCACATCGCCTGCCACCGCACCAAGGTAACGGCGTCAAGGAAAAGTGGAAAGGGTTTAAGGGAGATGCAGCACGCTGTGGTAGTGCATGGTAGCAGGTGGAGTGGCTGTGCAGCACTGGGCTGAGGGAGTGGGTGGAGGGGGACTCACGGCGGAGGGAGCGGCGGGAGCTTTGTTTCTTGGAGACCTCGGCGTACTTCTCGATGAAGTAGACGAGCAGCTCCTCGCCCACGAAGTCGCCCTTCCCCAGCAGCACCTCCTCGTAGAACCCCGTGCGGCCGCGGTTGGTGGTGGAGCTCTGCAGCGTGCCGCGCAGCACGAAGAACATGCGCGACACGGGCGAGCCCTCGCGCAGCACCACCGTGCCGTCGATGTAGAGGCGCTGCTTCAGGCGCTCGCAGATGGCGTCCAGCACCTGCTCCGGCATGCCCTTCAGCAGCACACAGTGCTGCGCACGCCAGGGAGGGGGGGGGGGCAATGGGGGGATGGGTTAAGGGGCAGGTTGTCAGGAAGGCGTGCGGCATGGGAGAAGGGGTGTGAGAGGGAGGTGATAGACGAGCAGGGAAGCGTATTGTGGAGATTTGGACGAGGAGGAGAAGCAGAAGGGTGGCTGAGCAGGCGCATTCTTACCTTGGTGATGAGCTCGTAGGAGAGGTGGCGGCGCACGTCCCTCTGGATGTCCTCGGAGAGTGACGTCATGACCTCCTCCTCGTCCACGCCCTGGTTCACCGTCCACACGTACCGCTCCAGCTCCCGCACCCGCCTGCTCCCAGGCAGCATAGGCGAAGCGAGGCGAGGCGGGTGGGGCGGGGCGGGGTGGGGCGGGGTGGGGTGGAGAGAGTGTTGAGAGAGGGGAGGTGTGTGGAGGGGAGGGAGAAGAGCTACACGACAAGGTGATGGATTGGACGGGTGAGAGATGAGGGATGGGACGGAATGGAAAGGAGACGAGTGCGGAGGGGTGAGGAGAGAGGGATGAGTGGGGAGGGGTGAGGAGGGAGAGATGAGGGTGGAGGAGTGAGAAGAGGTGGCGGAGGGCGAGCAGCAGCGTGGGAGATGCCCCAAGGGCGGTGGAGTGGGGGAGATGCCCCGAGGGCGGTGGAGTGGGGGAGATGCCCCGAGGGCGGTGGAGTGGGGGAGATGCCCCGAGGGCGGTGGAGTGGGGGAGATGCCCCGAGGGCGGTGGAGTGGAGGAGATGCCCCGAGGGCGGTGGAGTGGGGGACATGACCCGAGGGCGGTGGAGTGGGGGACATGACCCGAGGGCGCTCTAGGGCGCAGGCACAGTCTGGAAGGACCCTCGCAGTCTGGAAGGACCCTCACAGTCTGGACAAGACAAGGCACAGTCTGGAAGGCATCATGCACCCTCGCTGTGCGCATCCAACAAACGCCGCTGCCCCATGACCGCACCCTCACACGAGGGTGGGTGGGCGCGCATGCAGAGAGAGACGCACCTCTGCAGCTCGCGGGGAATGTCTCGCTGCGACATCCACTGCTCCAAGTCCCTCAGGTGCAGCCGGTGCTCAAACGACCTGCCATGTGCCGCCCACATGCCCCCGCCACGCCCCCACCCACCACACACAGGCGCACGCGCACAGAGATGCGGACATGTGATGAGTAGTGAGAAGGCAAATCAGAGTAACAAGGGTGGCGGCAGGGTGGCTAGAGGGATGAGACCGGCTAAGAGGTGAGTGGGGACAGCAGCACAAGGGGAAGGGAACGGCACGGGGAACGCATGGTAAATGGAGTGGAGTGAGCATCAGCTGGGTGGCTGACTCGCGGCCTGCTGCACTCAGTGCGCGTGTGGTGGTGCGCGCACAGGCAGGTTACCGGCAGGTGAGGTACTGACCGGCGGCTGAGGGACTGCAGGAAGTTCTGCATGTTGCCGATGAGGAAGGCGAACAAGAAGAGCCCGAGCGCGACGATGATGAGCATGAAGACCACCTCGCCCACCTCCGTGGTGGGGACAAGGTTGCCCGCTAGCGTACTGATTTGCTGCTCCATGCACGCATGCACACGCACACACACACACGCACACACACACACGCACACACACGCACACGCACACACACGCACACACACCACGCCACACCGTACATGCACACCACACCACACCACATGGGGCATTAGGTTGAGCAGGAGCGAGTGAGAGGAGGAAGAGAGGGTCAGGGAGGCCGGAGGGACAAGGGAAGACCACAGTTTAAGGAAAACGGAGAGTCAAAGTGAAGAGAGTGAGGAGAGGGGCGTGGAGGTGGGGATGGGCGTGGAGGGTGGGAGTGGGGGGGGGGGGGGTGCACCTGGAAGCCCCACATGAGGGAGTAGAGCCAGGTGGAGAAGAAGGAGCCGAGCTGCACCACACGCACGCCCGTGTCATATATGCCGTAGAAGTCGCTGCTGATGCCGCTGCTGCTCAGACACGTGTCGTACATGCCGCTGCTGCCCGCCAGCCACTCGCTGTACCCCGGTGTACTGCCCACCGGGCAGCTGAGGAAGTTCTGGTTGCAGGGCGGCGAGGAGTCGGGCAGGCAGGAGTTGACGAGGCAGGTGGCGGTGCGCTGCATGGTGAGGAGGTACCAGAGCGTGCCGACGACGTTGGAGCCCATGAAGAAGGCGATGAGGTTGAGCAGGAAGGACGCCCAGGCCGTCTCAAAGAGCACGGAGTGGCTGCCCTGCCCCGACAGCATGGGGTACATGCGCGCCAGGCGCGGCACGAACTGCAGCAGCACGCTGATGCGCACCGCCACCTGCCACGTCTGCGACACGTTCACGTCCGGCGAGAGCGGCAGCACCGCCACCGTTATTATCTGGGGGGGGGAGGGGGTGGGGGGGTCAGCTTGGAGGAGTGAGCAGGAGCAGCGGAGCATGGAAGGAGGGATGGCGAGGAGAGCAGGGAAGGAGGGATGTGAAGGAGGGCAGGGCGAGGGGCACACGGACATGAGACTTGTGGGAGGTGCGGCCCTAGGGAACGAGGGACCTAAAATGGCCGGACCCATGGACGGGCGAAGTGGGCGAGGGACGGAGGTGGGGAGTGGCGGAAGCTGGGTGGAGGCGGGGGGGGGAGGGCGGACCTGGGGGAGGGGGATGAGGGCGAGGAGGTCGGCGAGGAAGAGCGTGCGGAGGTAGTTGATGAGGATGGCGCGGCCGTCCACCACCAGGTCGCCCAGCTTCACGGGCTCGCCACTGGAGTTGCGTATGTTGCCCTCCTTCACATGGTCGTGCGTCGCGTTGAACATCATGCGCGTCTGATGCCCGCCCGGGAGGAAGGGGGGGAGGTGTTGTGGGCGGGCGAGAGGGGTGAGGAGGAGAGAGGGGATACGCACGCGGGGGTTTGTTGGGATAGAGCAGCGACGGAAGGAAAGCGGAAAGGGACATTGGGGAGGAAAGCGGGGAGGAAAGAGTGGGGAAAAAAGTGGAGAGGGGGGGAGGAAAGTGGGGAGGGGAATGGGGGTTGAAGGGAGAGGTGATGCAGTGGCAGAGAGAAGGGTGAGCGCACAAGCACGACACGGATTGGCGAGAGCCTCAACATGTACAAGAATGCTCAGAGAGATTCACATGCACGAGTATGTTGAGAGAGACTCACATGCACGAGTATGTTGAGAGAGACTCACATGCACGAGTATGTTGAGAGAGACTCACATGCACGAGTATGTTGAGAGAGACTCACATGCACGAGTATGTTGAGAGAGACTCACATGCACGAGTATGTTGAGAGAGACTCACATGCACGAGTATGTTGAGAGAGACTCACATGCACGAGTATGTTGAGAGAGACTCACATGGACGAGTATGTTGAGAGAGACTCACATGCACGAGTATGTTGAGAGAGACTCACATGCACGAGTATGTTGAGAGAGACTCACATGCACGAGCATGTTGAGAGAGACTCACATGCACGAGTATGTTGAGAGAGACTCACATGCACGAGTATGTTGAGAGAGACTCACATGCACGAGTATGTTGAGAGAGACTCACATGCACGAGTATGTTGAGAGAGACTCACATGCACGAGTATGTTGAGAGAGACTCACATGCACGAGTATGTTGAGACTCACATGCACGAGTATGTTGAGAGAGACTCACATGCACGAGTATGTTGAGAGAGACTCACATGCACGAGTATGTTGAGAGAGATTCACATGCACGAGTATGCTGAGAGAGACTCACATGCACGATTATGTTGAGAGAGACTCACATGCACGAGTATGTTGAGAGAGACTCACATGCACGAGTATGTTGAGAGAGACTCACATGCACGAGTATGTTGAGAAGCGTGAGGAAGTCAAGGAAGGTGCGAATGCCGACGAGACAGTAGGCGAAGGTCCACCTCGTGTACACACACACGTTCTCCTGCGCATGCCCACGCGCACACACGCACACAGACATGCAGACAAATGATGTGGACGGTGTTTTGCGGAAAATATATGATTGGACGAAGGAGAGTGGAACCCAGGATGGTGGGAACCACTTGACTGACGGATAGGCACCTGACTGACAGAGAGTCACTTGACTGACAGAGAGGCACCTGACTGACGGAGAGGCACCTGCTGACGGAGAGACAGGTGGGTGACGGAGGGGCGGATACCTGGGTGAGGGAGGGGCGGGTACTGGGTGAGGGAGGGGCGGGTACTGGGTGAGGGAGGGGCGGGTACTGGGTGAGGGAGGGGCGGGTAGCGTACCTGGGAGACGGAGAGGACGAGGAGGAAGAAGGGGTCGAGCAGGAAGGCGGCGAGCATCATGCCGAACTGCAGCTTGACCCACAGCTTCACGTAGTAGCTGTGCGGATGCAGCAGCGGCGGCGGCCACAGCTCCGCCACGAACCGCCGCAGCAGGAAGCGCCGCCGCCGCTGCCAGGGGCGCGGAGGGGTGGGGAGGGGTGGGATCGATGGGAGGGATGGGAGGGGGAGGGATGGGAAGGTGGTGGGCATGGCACGCTGGTGGGCACAGCATGGCGTTGTAATGACAATGCAGCACGGCAAGGCATGGCATGGCATGGCATGGCATGGCGTGGCATGGCATGGCGTGGCATGGCGTGGCATGGTGTGGCATGGCGTGGCATGGCGTGGCAATGGCAATGCAGCACGGGCACTGACAGTGGCAACGTTGAAATCGCTTTTGAGAATTCTCGAAAGCGATTTCAACATCGCTGAGAGTGGGCAGTGCGCGTGGCTCACGTAGGTGAATGGGAGCAGCGCGGGTGTGGGGGCTCACGTAGGTGAATCGGAGGCCGCAGCAGCGCAGTGTGACGAGCAGCTCCTCCTCGCCGTCGCCATCCTCGTCGCCATCGTCGTCCAGCATCCAGTCCATCGCCGAGTAGTCCTTCGCCACTGGCGTCACCGCCGCGCTCGCGCCGGGCGCGGCGGCGGCCATCATTTTGCGCATGTGGAGGTGCATCTCGGGCGGGCAGCGGTTGCACATGGGGTCCATGCACATGATCACACTCTGCCGCACCATCTTGCGCTGCCGCACGCCGCCCGGCATGTCCACGTGCACCGCCGACTGCGGCGGTCCGCCCGCGCTGCCTATCGGGTTCGTCGCGCGCTGCTGCTTCTGCTGCTGCTGCCGCGCCTTGCGCTCGGCGCGCAGCGCTTCGAGGTCCTTGGCGAGCCGCTCCAGGTCGTCGTCGTCCGCGCCCTCACTCGCGCCCTCGTCGTCCGCCGCCGCCCCTCCGCGCGCGGTGTCCGCCATGTCCTTGAGTTCGCGCTCCACTTCCTTGATGTCTTTCAGCGACCGCCGCACCATCTGCCACTTGCTCCGCCCCGACCCCACCTTCCCCACACCGCCCTCGCCTTGCACTCCGCCTTCCTCCCCCGGTTTCTTCTGCCCGCCCGTCAGCGCCCCCCCGTCGTCAGGCTGTGCGTCGACGGCGGCGCTCGCCCTTGGTAAGCTGTTGCTGCCGTCGGCTCTCGGCGAGGGGACGTCGCGATCGTCGTCGAAGCGCACTCCCGCGCCTAGCGGCTTGCGCCGGGGGTACATGGCGGACATGGGACGCAGCGCGGACGTTACCCGGTTCAAGGGCCCGCTGCGTTGCTTCGCTTTGCCGCCGGTGCTGACGGACGGCGGAAGGCGTTGCTCCGCCGCCTGGCGTTGCGCTTCCGCCGCCTCCCCCTCATTCGACCGCGGCCCGCGATCGCTCTCCCCTCGCGGAAGCCTTGCGGTTGCCGGTGTAGAGGCGGACGGAATGGCGGCAGCGCCCGGCGGGTGTGGGTGTGGCCGGCGAGGGGACGGCAGTTGAACGGAGTCGGTCGCTGAAGGCGGAGTGGTAAGGGACGGTACAGAGGGTTGGGATGTCGGCGGCTGCGACTCCGATGGCTGCGACGTGGACGGCAGCAGCGACTCGACGTCCGGCGATTCCTTCCACCCCTCGTACTCTGTCAGCAGCGACATCCTCGGCTCGAGGCCCCGCCTCGTGCTACCTGAAACAAGTTGCTGCGATTAACTAACGTGCATGACGGGTAACGAACGCAGGAAGAAAAGCAATCAGCAGGGGCTGCGGAGGGTCTGCGGTACGACAATCTAGAGGGTAATAGGGTGCTTGTGTAGGCGTGGTTGCACCAATGCGGAAGTGACACGTTAGTTGGGAGGTAGGCGAAATGTATGGTTTTAGTTTGAGGAGATATGATATGCAGAGATTAGGGCCGTCCAGTCTTGACCTAACGGCGTGTGCAAAGTGCGCAAAAACTCGACGTCGAGCAACGTCGGTGAATTTCCACCCTCGGATCAAAGGTTCCAACCGTCAGGATTCACCGACTTCCTCGACGTCGAGTTTGTACAGCACTTAGTACACGCCATAAGCTGCTGTTGGGTGAGGGGAGGGCCGTCCGTCCTCATGCTCTTCCACTCACACTCGACAAACAAGCCCCCACGAATGCGGTAAGCAAAGCGAGAGTAGTGCGAGGGCATAGGAAGGGCAACACTACACACCCATCCAAGCGCTGGGCAATCGACAAAAAATATTTTGGCGGGAACGAGACGCACAAAAAGATAATAGCAGCGGTGGGTGTCAAGCATAAATGTGATAAAATGAAAGCTCTAGAAAACAAAGGGTAAAACGAACTGCTTGGCAGAAACGTGGGTATTGTTGCTGGAGACAACGAGCTTGTTGCGTGAGACCCAACGTTCAATGCAGGTGGCTGCGATTCGAGGCGGGCAATTGGGGTTTCGCCTTGAAACCTGGGAACCAGGGACTTCGTTAATTGACACTTCGATACACGAATTTATTATTTCTGGTGAATGATATTACAATAGAAAGTGCATACATTCTCAGTCGTAACTGATTGTCCGGAGAGGCCCAACCCTGGTTATATAGCCTTGTACTACTATTGGGGTCTCCCCTCCGTAGGGATTTTACGGATGCTGCCTGATCAATCTGGGATTACGCCAGATGGAGAGAAACTCATCGCTCCCCGTGGCCTTCTCCCCTGGCTCGCTGAGTAACGCCACTGTCAGAATGTTATTGTTCTCTAGCCTGCATTGGGGTACTCTATAGCGAGTACAGCCCCTTAGGGTTTCCTATATGTATCCTGCTGCTTTCTAGTGAACCCCCTCCTTCATTCTAAACTTTACTACCTTCTAATCTTCACATGCTATCAGAGCAGGTCCATCCCCTTGGGTTGATCCTGTGGGTGGGCTCACCACCTCATTGCTTCCACTGCTACTGCTACTCTCTCTGTTGCACGCCCCGTGGCGTGCAACGGATTTTTCATCCCGCTGCGCGCTTCTGCTGCCGTGCGCCCCGAGGCGCGCGGCGGGTTTCTGCCCCGTCACTCCGCGCGTCGCTCTCAGGAGGTGCTGCGACGGGCGACGGGGACCCGCGTTTCGCCCCCCGTTGCCCGTCGTGGCCTGCGCGCGGCCCGTACGGGCTGCGCCAGGCCCGCGCGCGGCTCAGGCCGCCTGCGCGCGGTTCGGGCGGCTGTGCCAGGCCCGTGGGCGGCCCGTTCTTCCCTGCCCCTGCGCTGCCCGCTGTCCCCCGTGCTTCTGATGGCGCCCCACCCCTGCTGGTGCCCGTTCTCCTGAATTAGGGCTTCGGGGTGGGGGGTATGGGGGTGCAGCTTCTGTGTGTCGTCCCCTGCTCCTCCTCCTCCTCCGTCTCCCAGTGCTGCAGCTGCCGCTGAGGGGGGTGGACCTGTTGGAGCTGTCGGAGTGGTACTAAGGGGGGTTAAGGGGGAGTGGAGCTAGGGGTGAAGCACGGGGTGTGTGTCAGGGGGAGTGGGACTGTTTGGGGAGGTTGAACGGAGGTTGCCTTCGTGTCGCCAGCAGCACCTGTAGTCCGGGGAGTTGCTCCGGTAGCCCAGTCGCAGCCAGCTGTGCCAGTCGCCCGTGGGTCCGTTGCTCGTCTGCCGCTACTTTTAGCCGCGGAGCCAGTTACTCCAGTGGTCCGGAGCGTTGTTCCGGGAGCCGCTGTGCCAGTGTGACTCCTGTTGCCCATGTGTCTGCAGCTTCAGCCGTCGCCTCCTATCTCCTCTCCTCTCACTGTCCCTCCTCCTCCTCACTTGCCCGTTGTGACTACCACTAGCTTTGCTCATAATTGTGAACTTTAAACTGTTGCTTCTTGTACTTGTGCTCAGAATGTGTGGTGACATTGTGATCCACCCTGAGCTTGTTTTGCTTTGCTTGCTCTGCTGATTACACCCCACTTTGGCTATGGGGGTGTGTCAGAATGTTTTTGTTCTCTAGCCTGCAGTGGGGTACTCTATAGCGAGTACAACCCCTTAGGGTTTCCTATATGTATCCTGCTGCTTTCTAGTGAAACCCCTCCTTCTTCATTCTAAACTTTACTACCTTCTAATCTTCACAGCCACCGCCGCTCGTTCATCATCATTCAGGCCCCGACACGGGAATTCTATCATTTCAATTCAACAGAGTTTCCATATGAATTTTCCCACCAGGCCAAATATTTCAGATTGACATCTTGGCCAACAATCTGTTTATGGTATAGTAATTTCCCCTGTTACGAACGGTCAGTTATTGCACCGATGCAAAGCCAAAATTACCATGACTAAAAAAATCCAGCTCCTTTTTTTGTATTGGTACGGATATTATGTGTAAAGAGCATATTTTTTTGGTATGAAGATTGCATTTGTGAGTTTACGAACCTGAAATCATGCTGCAAAGAGCCCGGGAGTGAAAAATGCAAGGTGCGGGGCGGGGGGGGGGGGGGGGGGGGGGGTATAATGAGTACGATCGAGTGAAAAAACCCCGACTTCTTCGCAATTTTCTATATCGGTGTGGATTCGATGTTTTTTGCAAAAATATGGCTTAAAACGCTAGGGATGGGCGTCAAAGGGGTGGGAAAGGCGCGCTTGCGCGCGATTGCAGCCTAGACTGAGATGAAAGGAGTAGGAGGGGTACAATTAGTATAATCAAGTGCAGAAATCCCAGGCTGCTTTGCAATTTTCTATACTAGTGCAGATTCGATAACGTTTTCGCCATAATATGGCTAAAAACGCCCTAGATGGACCTAATCAAATATGTGGGGAAGATAGCTTGTGCGCGTTTGCAGCCGAGACTGAGATGCAAGGTTCAGAGGGTACCGTGAGTACGATAGAGTGCAAAAATCCCCGAATGCTTCGCATTTTTCTATAATGGTGCGGATTCGATCCTGTTTTGCAAAAATGAGAAAACTGAAACGAGAATGAATGAACTATGAATGAAGTGGTTACAAGTACTAACCCTAATTGGGTTGTACCCCCTATGGGATACCCCACTACAGCCTACACAAAAGCATAAGCTATAATGTTCTGACACACCCACATAGGCAAAGTGGGGGAGAACAGGGGGTCACAAGACCAGTCAAACAAAGCTCAGGGTGGATCACAAAGTCACCACACATTCCGAGCACAAGTACAAGGCCACAAGGCCAGTTCACATGCAGGAGTACATATATATATAAGGCTAGACAAGCAAGAGCAGGTATATATATATGTAACAGTACAAGCAAGGTCAAGAGGTGAGCAAGTGAGGCAAGACAGAGACAAGACCCAACTGAGAGCAGAAGCGCTGATGATCACAAGGAGGAAGTGCCTTGGTGAAAACATAAGCAGTGTTGGCCTGGCGGAGACCGTAAAGCGTCTGGTAAACCCTGAAGGTGTAACCCTGTGACGACCGCTGCGTAGCCTGGTCCTCAGCCCAAAAAGCGTCTGCGTGCCCAGTAAGGACCACTGGACTGCGCCCTTCAAGCACTAGCCCCATGCCCGGTGTACTGCACAAGTAGCGCAACACCCTCTTCGCTGCAGCCATGTGCTCTGGTCGGTGTCTCCCAGGAGCAACATAGCGTGCGAGAATGCTAAGAGGGTATGCAAGGTCAGGTCGTGTGCAGGTCATCAGGTACATGAGGCAACCAACAAGCTCTGGGTACGGGCCACTCGACTCTACGGACTCATCCGAAGGCAGAGCTGAGAACGAGTGGCGAGTAGGCAGAGGAGTGGCCTGAGGCGAGGAGTACGTGAAGCCGAAGCGCTGAAGGACCTGCTGCACCATGTGTGACTGAGTCAGGGTAATGGTGCGGCGTGCTCTGTCCCGGGTGATCTGCAAGCCAAGGTAGCTGCGCAGTTCACCCAGGTCTGTGCACGTGTGTCTCTTCTGCAGCTCGGACTTCTTGTGGGCGAGTCCAGCAGTGTCAGCTGTGGCAAAGACCAAGTCGTCGACGTACACGAGGATGTAGAACGGCGGCAGAGAGGTGTCGGTTCGTAGAAACAGCGACGGGTCGGCAGTAGAAGGAGCAAACCCAAGAGCCGCAAGTGTAGTCCTCAGTGTGTCGTGCCACTCACGTGGCGCCTGGCGGAGACCGTAAACAGGACGCCGGAGGCTCAATTGGGTACGAGGAGGGAACAACCCAGTGAAGCCAGGTGGACGGCGCAGCCAGATCTCCTCGTGCAGGCTGCCCTGCAAGAAAGCTATGCTGAAGTCGAGAGAGTGCAGCTCGTAGTCACGGTGAGCAACAATGTGCAGCAGTACCCGAAGAGTGGTCATCTTCGGGGTGGGAGAGAAGGTCTGAAAGTAGTCAACTCCGTGCCGCTGACTAAAGCCACGAGCCACGTAACGTGCCTTGAAGACAGGCGGAGAACCCGGCGGCCGCTTCACTCTGAAGATCCACATGCCACTGACGATGTTCGCCCCAGGAGGGGGAACGGCGTCAACGTAGGTGCCTGTGGACTTCCAGGAAGCCATCTCTGCGTCCATAGCTGCCTGCCACCGAGAGGAGTAGGGACCCTCTATCGCCTCCGCGTAAGAGCGCGGAGTCGGGATGTCAAGTGCATCCGGGTCTCCCTCAGGGTTTAGGGACGAGCTCAGCAACTAGGGCAGACGCAGCAGTGGACTCAAAGGAAGGGTCAGTGACAACAGTAGCAAGGAGACGCGTGACAATAGGACTGGCAGCACGAAGAGAG